TTGCCTTGACAAACTTAGGGACATTATAGAAAAGGCAGCACACGAAATCAAACTATATGCATCTGGTTTTCCATTCACTACTTTATCAAAGAAAAAGGAATAAATAGAGGTGATGGTCAAAACCAAAAATGACAAATGAGCTTTGGACAGAAGATTTTTGGAGTGTTGCAATATCTTTGCAAACAGAATCATGAGACAGTTTACAAAGAAAAAAAAAAAAAAAAGAATCATGAGACAGATGAATAAACTGAAAACACAATAAAGAAATATCTTCAAAAAATTCCACTCTCCGAATAAATGATTGAAGGAGGAGCTGAGAGCATAGCAGAGCAGTCCAAGAACTGCTGATGCAAAACCCACAAATCTCCATACCTCAGGCTGCATCAGCAATCTCCGGATTTGGATAGCCATAGGCATCTTCTCTCTAAAGTGAGTAAAATTTGCTGTCACAGAGATACAAAGAGAGACCCTTTTAGGCTTAGGATGAAAATCCGTCCCCTTTTTTTTTTTAAGGTGAAGTTTCAAGGAAGGAACTAAGGGGGCGTTTGGTTGAGAAGAAATTTTATGAATAATAGGGAAATATTATACATAGGAAAATTGTTGGAAAGTGAGATAGGTAGAAAAATGTAAAAAAAAGTTGTTTGGTTGAGAAAAATTTTACCGGAGAAATTAAGTAACTTTTATGAAATCTATGTTTGGTTGAAGGTAAAATATAGATGGAAAAACAAGTTGGTATTACCAAAATAACCTTGTTTTTTAAAAAGCAAATACTGGGACATTAACACAGAAGCAAATACTGAAATATATGAGAGCGAAGGAACAACTAACAAAAAAACATCAGATGTTCCCACGCTCCTCTTATTGGTGCAAATTATTACAGAAGATTTAAAACAATCCCAACGCTTCAAAACTTTATACACGAACAAAAGAATTTTTTGCCATATATATCACCCCGAGTAAAAATAAAAAATTCAGAATTTGTTTTTACAATAAATTCTATGAATGACTGGATTTAGAGGTAATGGACTTGAGCGAGCAAGGGTTATGTCAATGAGAACTTCTGGTTGGCACAATATCCCTGCAGAAGAAGATGCTGTAAAATTGCTCGAAACTAGTCCAAGTCTCACCACCAGCCCTTGATAGAGGTGGTAGCTATAGGACGTTCCTTTCTTGTATTAACATTTCATGTATAATGATTGAAGGCTCTGAGATTCAAAACCAATTATAATTCAATTATTTGCTCCGCCGAGCACTCATGTAATATTCACTGTGTACGCGCTCGTCTCCATAGCAAGCAACGACCCCAAAAGGGAACTGAGTGAGGAACAGAAGCAGCAACAGAGAACCCAAACCGACAGAGACAGCGACGGAGGGTACGCTCGTCATTAGCGGTCTTGCCTATAGACACCATTTACCTAGCTAACATACAATACCATATGTCAAGAGGGGTTCTGTTAGCCGGCTTTCTCATTCATTTAGATGTCCATGTTGTTTCGCTTGCAATCTCATTTAGGTAGCAAAATATTCAGAATCCCTAAACCAAACAAAGCAACCCAATTATTCCACTTCCCACTTACCCATTTATCTCAACATTTTTCCCCAACCAAACACACCCTAAAAGTTTAAACTCAAGGAGTTTAAATTTTTTTTTACCGGGAATTACAATTTTCTTGGAAAATGAATTTATGAGAATGTTATAAAAAATTATTTGATAGGCCAAAATATTTCAAAAAATATTAGGTTAATTTTTCTGATATTATGTTTGGCTGATTATAAAATATTAATGAGAATGTGTACCAAATTTACAAAATTAACCTTCATCGTTCATCTTGTTTATTTCAGCAACGTTTTGTTTATTCAGAACGTCGATGAGGTGAGAGTCATTGAGGATGATGGTAGTGGCTCGACGACAATGAGTTGGAGGATAGAACCATCTTTGCTAAATCGGACCCTGTCGACCTTGCCCTTCTTCACGTTATCTAACGCCAAAGCTTGAGGCTGAGGCTTCTTGTTCTTGAAGATTTTTTTTTGGCGTTTGAAAATAAATAATGTGATTTAGTTGTTTCCGGGGATTTTGCTTTCAACAAAGTTCGAAGAAAGCAAAACGTTGGTGGCAAAGATAACTACACAGGGTATTTTTGTCTGAATAATTTGCGAACATTTTCCCAGCATGTGAGGTTTCTAAAATAACAGTTGTGGGGTGTGATTACTGGATGAGATTTTTGTTCACATCTTAAAATCTCGATAAAGCAAGATTCATGAAAAAAAAATTACTCTTCCTTTTTCCAAACATGAAAAATATAACATTCTCAATTGCAATTTTCCACGATTCTAAAATTTTGCCTTGTATCAAACACTCCTAAAACGTATGAAAAGTTTGACTAAATTCAATTGTCTTTCGTATGCAAATTAATCCAGTTCAATCATTTAAAATATTAAAACTATAAAATTTGTGCAAGCGTGTGTGAATTGTCTTTTCTAAAATAGCATTTTAGTTTAAAAATAATAATTTGATAAGACCTGTTTCAAAAAAATGATTCTAAAAATTATAATTATTTTTTAATTTTTATACTAAAATTTAGAGTATATGTCTAATTTTTTTATATTTTGTGTTTTGACTTTTAATTTTTAAAATAAAAAAAACACAAAAAATACATATTTTATTAACTATTCTACAACACAATTTTTTTGAAAAAAAAATAACAATCAAACATGCCCTAAAACGTCTATAAGATGTTTTTTTAATATCTATTCTAAAAACTAAAAACATAATATTATTATTTTTAGAACAATTTTCATAAAACACTCCACGACAAATGAATTTTTTTATTGGTTCTTAAATTTAAAAACTGTTTTCAGAAACAACCCTCAAACAACATGACTTGATGATCTTCTTATTACTTGGATGTAAACAATAGGTGAATTATTTGTATTGTACAAGAAACTACCAGTTCAATTTTATTTTATTTTTTTCGTGGTTGAAGGATTCCTTATGATGTAAAAACAAGACTTTTTTTTGGAACTGTAAAGACAAGAGTTTGATTTGTCATAGCATCCCCGTACTTTTCCACGCATTTATTGAGAAATATTCGGGTGGTCCATGATCACAAAAATAGCTACTACCCTTTGAAAAATATGGGATATGGATAAAAATATAAATGATAGAAAGGGATAAAATGAAAAAAAAATTGTATACATTTCCAAAGGGGGACAACCCAAATATTTCTCGCATTTATTATAGTAGATACTTGTTAGCAGCAGTTTGTAGACTTGTCCTTATCTAGTCTGATTGATTAAGATTTCAACGATATTCGCATCTAAACTGATTTTCTTTTGTTTATTAAATCACTACGAAACGAGATATAGACGGACAACGCCTATGGGCCAAGCTACGGGCAAATAAAGCATCGCCACCACCTACTGGATTTGGATAGCATTAATGAAATATGCAATCAGCAAATGCCAGCTGCTAATATAGTAATATTAGATGTTGGATTGAAATTAAGAATAGGAAATAAGGATTAAAACCTAGTTGCTTCGTTTTAAAGCATGCACGACTAGTCAAGAACGTGCTTGACTATATCCATGAGTTGCCATTTGCCAGTAAATACGGATGGAATGCTACCGGCATGAGTGACGGTAAGGGTTCAATGATGAAATCAATTTTAACCAAATATGAATGTCGTAATTGTGAGTTGGTATTCCTCATTTGCCATGGTCTAATAAAGAAAATACTAACTCATCTATATAGTAATTGTAGATACACTACTAAATGCACGAAACTCGCCAACTTGCCAGTCAAATAAGATTGCTTGTTGGGACCCTCACTAATTTCCCAAACATCGCCATCCCTCTTGCTGTGATGCATTTGATTTGAGTTTAAGGTGGTTTGATTCTAAGGTATATTCCTAACTCTGTTTTTTATTTTTATTTATTTATTTATATTTTTTGTCTTCTCCACGAGCTCCTGACATGACGTAATGAAGTTACCGGGAAAATAAATAAAGAGTTACTCTTCACTGTACAAATGTGGAATTTATCTTTAATTTGCTCTTCTTATCTGTTGTCGATGATACTTGTAAATTATTTTATTTATTTATTGGGGGTAATAATTTCAATATTTTGTTGGTTATAGACTTGTTAGCGGAACTTATAAGATTATATATATTACAATTTGGATAGAGATCATAAGTTCAATCTTTATAGACTAACGAATAATAATTTAACTATTTTTTAATTATTATTATAATTCTAAATTCATTTTGCACTATTAGTTAAGTTTATTTCTGAATTGGCTCTTTCAAGTCGGAATTTTCACCAAGTGGATATATAAAAAAATTAAATTCTAGAAGCCCCAACGAGTTGGAAAAGGACCATTGCCGCACAATTAATTCAAGAATGGTGCTCAACTAGAAAGCACCGATAAGTGTTTTTGTTTTTAAAATTGTCCGTCGAATATGTGTTGGACACAGGATCAACACTCCGATATGTGTTTTTGACAGACAATTAGTTTTTTTTTTATATGCGATCAACGTTTTGACACCTATCTGATAAGTTTTTTTTAAGTCTAAATTTTATTTTATTAACTAAAAGTGAAAAAATAATTTATAAGTCAATTTTTTTCTTTTATGAAATTTGACATAAAAAATTAACAAGGTATGAAAAATTATTTTTGCTTTATATTTATGATATAGAATTTGAATATTTAATTGATTATATAATTTATTATGGACTGTTATATATATTAAATATAAATTATATTATATATATTAAAAAAATTATTTAATATTAAAATATGGTATTTTTTAGAATTATCATCTTGACATGTCATGTTGTGTAGTGTATTATGTGCGGTGTGAGCGCCGGTGCTTACTCAAATTTTTTTTTTTTTGAAGAATGTTGCATCTAGTAAACCAAACATCAAAATGAGAAAAGGGAAAAGGAAAAGGAAAAGGAAATTCCGTTCTCTTTCCCTGAAAATCGCCTTAATTAGGTTTAAAACAAGCTTCGAGGTAGCTTCACATGTCATAATCCAGACCACGTGTTATGTTTTCTCAAAATGTTGAATTATCCTCTTTCCATGAAAATGATAAACTCTTTGAAACAAATCTTCGAGATAATAGACATTTGCACCAAAATAACCCAACTAGAACGATGATATAATCTCTCTCCTCATCAATGGAAATTACTTCGCAGTTGATGAACACTCCCAAACCTAACCCTTGCTTCATGGTTATACCTTCCACACGATACATCTGGCACGACCTCTTTCCATCTTAGTTAAAACCTTTAATTGTTGCCTTTCCTCTTGTTAAACCTTCAAAAAGAAATGTCCGCACCATTCCGAAATCTGACAACTCAGGCGAAGTTATGGAGAATAGTGGGATTAGTGTCAAGTGTCATTGGGATGCTGTGTTACGCGTGGAGCCTATCTTCAAAAAATGTGGATGGAAAGTATCACGTTTTGAAGATCTCTCTTTACGGTGTGGTGAGTTTCACAATCATCTGTGTTATGTTATTTGCAAGGAAAGTGCGGTTCTCAAATAATTTCCTGTTGGTAGCTCTTGTGGAAGTTTTTGCTTTGATGCTAACCTCTTTATACAACTTCTTCAGTGATAAAGACTTAGATAAAACACTTGATGTATTTAGCTTAATTTCTAACGGGTCATTTGCTTTGGTGTTATTGAGTATAATGAAGCAAATTGACCTTCCGTTTGAAGCGGAACTGCTTAATTTTTATCTTGGATGTCTTGTGACACAACTCATGAACATCAACTTGGGACTCGTTTTGGTTGGAGCAGCTTACTGTTATTTTCTCAACGTTCTTCGCTCCTATTCAGATATCGAACTAGAGATTGGAACTGCTAGTCATGAAGAGCATGTGGCTATTCAAATTGATACTGGTAAGGGAGAAGAAAGAGAAGCTGACACAGATCACACAAGCCAACTCTATTTGCTTCTGGGAATTGAGATAAAAAATGAGGAGACAGTTATGTATCCTCATGACTTTGAAGCCAAACTTATGGAGGCAATGGCTTCGGGTTTTGTGAAGGAGCACTGCTACCATGTTTTCTGCTGTTGGCGAAGACAAGTCTTGGAGGAGGAGTTGTTGTTAAAGGACCTAAAGAGCATCGAAGAGGTTCACATGATGCCATTGAAACATCTCAAAGATGAAGTTGGACGCTGGATTAAAGCTTCCAAGGATGCTTTCGGGGAATTGTTTCCTAACGAACAACATCTCTGCAATCGTGTCTTTGAGTTCTCTCCTTTTGCTGATCGCTCTTTCATGGAGGTTTGTCATGAACCCAGCATTCTTCTACTGAATTTCTTCGCTAATGCCGTGGCTAGTACAAGCCGTTCACCACAGCGTTTGTTCATAATGCTTTTCGTGTTTGAGACACTGAATGAACTCTTACCTAACTTGGAGTCAATGTTCTCAGGTAAAGAAGGTTGTGTGGTTCTCAATGAGGCAAATAGAATCTGTAAAAGGTTAAGAGAAGCAATAAGAGGAGTTTTCTTGGAGATGGAAAATCTGATTCGTCAAGACCCGGCAAAGGTGGTTGTTTCCGGTGGTGGGCTTCATCCAACTAACCGCTATGTGATGAACTACCTCTTTGTTGCTTGTGATTGTTGGAAGACCCTTGAGCTTGCTTTTAACGATGAAGGGTCACTTCCTTGTTCTTCATTGTCTCTCCAGGTGACTCAAGTTTTGGAGTTGTTGGAGAGCAATTTGAAAGCCAACTCCAAGATCTACAAAGACTCTTCCATGAGCTCTATCTTCATGATGAACAATTGGATGTACATGGTTCACAAGGTGAAAAAGTGTGAGCTAGGAAAAGTGTTGGGTGATGAATGGATCCAGAAACACATAGTGAAAATGCGGCAATATCTTGTACACTACCAGAGAAGCTCATGGGACCAGATACATGGTATGTTGAATATAGACAATAATGAGTCACTGGCACATGATGAATCTGCAGTGTCATGGAAAGAAAAGCTCGAGCTTTTTAAGAGGAAATTTGAGGAGATATGTCTGAATCAGTCTACATGGGTTGTCATTGATGACCACCTAAGAGAAGTCATGAAAAGTTCATTGAAGAAAAACTTGTTGCCGGCGTTTGAAAATTTCATCGCAAGATTCCAAAATGCAATAAATCCTCGAGAAAATATGGATATGCATGAGGAGTTTGGGGCCCAAGGTGTTGCGACTCATATAGACAAGCTGTTCCAGGGAAAAGATGAGCACAGAAACCCCAGGTACGTCGCTGAATTTTCAAGGCTTGTTTTTTTATTTTTATTTTTATTTTTTTAGTAAGTCAAGGCTTGTTTTTATGTCAGTGATAATTGCAATCACATATAGTAGGTTAAGTGGTTAATCAAACAAACAGATGAATAGACCTATTGTATTGCGGAATCAAATTTATTGTCTAGAATCATTTCTCCAGTCGTCTCCCTCAAGCATTAAATTCTTTTTGTCATATTTCGGGATCAAATTTAATATTGTCTATAATATTCATTCCTCAAATCTTTATATTTATTACCATTCATTTAATATGAAAAAATGTTAACATCACATATTGGAGAGAGGTGGAAGAGTGGTTTGCAAATAGCATCTGTTCATCCCAAAAATCATATATATAATAAAGAGAGAATTCCTATATGTGAATTACGATCAGTGCTAGTACTTTCCCAAAAATAAGTGTTCTACTGATTCTTTCTTAATTTAGGTTGAAATGTATCTATAGGACTGAATTTTGGTATGTTGCAGAACTATTCAGCCAACATGGAACGTAGTCCTGCGCAGTACACAAGATTTTTATGAATGGAGGAAGTGCGCTGAGAAGACAATCGTTAATTCTTCATACCCAAGGTAATCGTTAGGTTCTTTATTCTTTTTCCTTTCACGGAATACAATATTATTCATTTTATTTTTTTTGGAAACTACAATATTTTTCATTTAATATTTTTATAGGGTTTTTTTTTTTTTTTTGATTACATATTTTTATAACGAGGAAAATGAGAACATTTTATATTTTTATAATTACATACATGGAACGTAATAAGCTAATTAAATTTAACTTCGGGAAAGGTACAAAAATTCTCCTATGATATTCATTTGAATCACATGATCTCTTATGCTTTTTTTTAACCACTTGCATCCTTGTGTTTTTTTTTTTCATCCAAGTCCCTACTTAACATGTAAAAATTGGATGAATTTGCCTATTCTACCCTTTATATCATCCTTTCTCAAGACTTGCAGGGATTCTAACAATACAATCAAAATTTCTTTCATAATTCAGTTTTTGAAAAAATTTATGAAGTGCCACGTAACTGGTGATAGGAACATAAAAAACAATTGCAATGAGATTATAACCAAAGTAAATTTTATTAAAAATAAAACTTACAAAAAGAGCGCTTTTTCAAAAAATTTAAATTATGAAATGTAAATTTCCATTCTCTTTCTATCTATGGTTCTCTCCTCCCCCATCGCTTGTTGTGCAAAATTTCAAATTATTATTTTGTTATTTACTTCTTGAGCTGTAGGATGAATGTGAGTATACAATTGTTCTTGTTGTGCCTTTCAATGCTTGCAAGGTAAAGGACCTACTGTTAAATTTTTAAATGAGATGATGAGGTCGACTAATTGTTACTTTAATTTGATTTTGTGATGCTTGTTTAATTGCTCTTAGTTTGTTTGATATTATGCCTGAACCACTAGATCCCTTTTCAAATATGCTTGATAATGACATTTACTATTAGCCTCTTGTTGGTATTTGAGTGGAGATTAGAATAGGAGATCATACTTTGTTTTTATTGTTAAAGAATGTGTGCTATGATGACATTATGGCTTGTTGCCTCATTGCCAAATGAGAAGATAACAAAGTGGTGTAAAATAAGTAGGATTATTTGTTTAGAGCCTGCACCTTGGTAATCCATGAAAAAATAGAGAAGGTAAAGGAAGTTTATAAATTTTGTCTTAGACTGAAGAAATTTTGTATGGTAAAAAATTATTGCAAAGCTTGGGGAAGAAGATGACACAAGCTAGCTCAAGTATATCTTTGGAAAAAGAGTAGAATAGTCATATTAATTAGAAACTTTAACACTGTTAAGGAGGGATTTGGATGAAAAAAACATAGGGGATTAAATGATAAAAAATAAAAGCATGAGGGGTAAGTGATTCAATGGAAAATCATATTAGGAATTTGAATTTTACCCTTTAACATTTATACAATAATTTTAAGGCCAAAATCCGAGTCATCAATTGAGTGTTTGTCAAATTGATTATAAATAATTTTGCAGAAAAGTATTCCTGCAGTTAATGCAGATAAGTTATCTGCATTTACTCCCAAAACGACGTCGTTTTGGAATTGAAATATTAAAAAATTATAATTATAAAGACTATAATAACACTGAAATAAATTAAAATTACAAAAATACCATGATTTTTGTCCCAAAATGACGTCTTATTAGGCTTACTGCAGATAACTTATTTGCAGTAACTGCAGAAAATACGAACTCATAATTTTAATTACAAAAGTTTTAAAGTAAAGTGATTTATGTTTAGAAACTTTTATCTTAATTGTAGCCAAATATCCATTTAGGTACAAACTTAATTTTAATTTGCTAAAATCAAATATAAATTTATTTAACAAAATCACATTTCAAATTTATGGATATGAGTAAGTGTGATCATGGACACTTTGATATTATATATAAAGAATCAATTCAACCTAGAAGCTAGTTATTAAGTGAAAGTCTATTAACATGGGTTTTATATTATATGTAAGATTGGAATTTAAGCCATTATGATTCATTTACTGGTGAGAGGTTTAGATAATTTGCATGAGGTTATAGGTTTGAATATATATATCACCATTGTATCCAATAAGTAAGATTGAGATTTCAATATCAATCTAGCAATAAACAAATTGAATATAGAGAATATGGATATTCAAATCGATATTCTCAGGTATATTATATTCTATGTAAAAATAGCCTAAAGAACATCATTGAATGCGTTAATTTCTAAAAAGGATAAAATGCTAAAATCATAAAATATGCTGAAATAAATAAAATACTATGTTGATTATTGAAAAGAAAAATAATTGAATTAATTTAGAAAAAAAGCAACAATATTAGGATATAAGTATTGATAAGAAAATAATTAATCAAATAATAGTGATAATATAACCTGCATTAAAAAGATAACTAATTAATGGGTAATTTTTGAGTTGGTAATGTTTATGTTTTATATATGATCCATACAATAACGACTTACAATGCACGTGTTTGACAGAAAATACTACAGATGCATCTGCAGGAATGATCAAGGTTGTCGAGCAAGAAAACACGTCCAACAAATACAAGAGAATCCAAAGCTGTACATGACTAACTACTCCGGCTTCCATACATGCAGTGTGCTCTATATGCTTCACAATGCTCCGTAAATGCCTAACAAAACTGATACTCAGGGAAACATTTATTTTTCATTGCGACTCGACAGCTGTAATATAAAACTAGAATATTCCAACTCTTGTAATGCCACTAGACAACTTTGCTATTTTTTATTTTATTTTTTATTTTTTTGTATATATTCAGTGTATATTAAATGTGTGAATACGATGCTCCTATATCAAATTTATATTAAACATTTTATTGTGAATACGATGCACCAGACAACATTTGTTTTTTTATTTTTATTTATTTGAGTTCATACTTCATACAACAAATATTACATGCTATCAAGACTTCTCATTTATCAAATGATACTTAGTCAGAGTTTTCAACCATCCAAGCCTATGTAAATTTTGAGGTTGGTATTTTGCAGCTAAAGTCAGTATTATTAATGTTTGTCACATATTCAACTACTCTATTACCAGCATTCACCCAAGAATTGATATCATCTTATTATTGTCCTGCTATACCTTCACAAAACAATAAACAGAATGATGATATATATCCAACCCGATCGCGACGTGACCGCGAAAACTATTGAATGATTAAAACAATAGAGTCGTCATCAAGGTTTATTTAAAAAAACATTGGAAAAACCTTTTATTAAAGAAACTGGTGTTTGACAAACAGATATGGATTCAGGAGTCGATTACGAGTAGGGAAAGTATCAGCACCCTATACTATGGATGGCAAAAACGAGCCAACCCGTCGGGTTGGCTCGCAACCCATCCTAAATGAGTCGGGTTGGGTTGGCCTAAATGAGCTGCCAATCCGACTCAACCCGACCCGATACAACCCAGACCCAAACGAGCCAGCCCGCGGGTCAAACGGGCCAGCTCGCGGGTTGTGTATTTTTTTTAATTAAAAAAATAATAATAATATGACTGTATTAAAAAAATAATAATAACAAGAAAGATGAAAGCTTACATTTTGAACTTATAAATAATTAGCTTTTCCAATTAGAAACTTATAAATTTTATTAAGAATAGGGTAGCATTTTGGTCCATTTGTATGTTTATTGCTGTCAAGTATTTTTTTTTTTTTTTACCGTTTGATTCTATTTAGCTTAATTTTGATCAGTGGAAGATGAAAGCTTACATTTTGAACTTTAAACTTGTTTAGTACAAGTCCATAAATAAGACTAGTTCCACAAAAATTAATTTTTTTGAGCCAACTCGCGAGCCAAATTTCGAGCTAATCCACGAGCTTTTTTTGAGCCAACCCGCGAGCTTTTTTTCGAGCCAACCCGCGAGCCAACCCTAACCCGGCTCGGGTCGGGCTGGGTTGAGTTTTCTGGCTCGTTTATTTTTTCGGGTCAAACCTAACCCTACCTTATACCGTCTGTTAAAAAGGCGGTTACCTTGTATTAATTGTGCGAATTATTGATAACATTTTAAATATTTATTTCACCCAAAAAATTAAATAAGAATGATTGTTGGAAAAGAAAACTAACTTTGAAAATTTATTTTTGTGCTTGACGGAAAGAGTCCCCCTCCGACGTATCCCTCGGTGCAATAGGGAACTCAAAGCTACGTCGTTCTGTAAAAAATATTTGAGTGTTGATTGATTTTAATTTTGAAAGTAGTTTTAATTTGAAAGTTTTAGATTTGATGGTTTCGGACTATCAAACTGTCACAGTTAAAATAATCTGAAATGATAATTGTAGGATTAACAAGTTGTCTCAACTCAGCTAATTCTTTTAGAAAATTTATTATTTTCATTGTTATAAACTTTTACGATAAAAATAAATTTTGAATCACCGAGCTGTCACGGCTAAAATGAGTCAAAATAAATATGTGGGGTTAACAAGCCGTCATGGCTCAGCCACTCTCATTTCAATTGATATCAAATTAATTTTTTATTCCTTATTTTCTAAATTAACAAAAAAAAACTATGATTGTTTATTCACTTATTATTACTAAACGATTTAAAATCATCAGACTATCCCAAAACAAAATGATTATAAAAATAATGAGATTAATAAGCCGACTCACGGCTAAATTGATCCCTCATTTGCTATTAGTGTAATTTTAATTACCATTTTTTAATTAACGCCACTCCACCATTTTAAGGTAATAATTAAGGGAAAAATGTGTATAATTTTGAAGGATGTAAAGTTGTGTCATTTTAAGAGAGAGAAAGAGATAGATAAAGGAGGAGAGAGAGTTGACAAAAAAAATAATGTTGTGGGTCCCACCTCTTTGTGAGAGTGAAAGAATGTAAGTTATGTAATTTAAAAGTATAGACATTTTTCCCAATAATTAAATAAGTGAATCGTTAATGTCCCATGAATACTCTTTGAACATCAAAGTCTATTTAGGCTAAAGAAAATCAAATATTCTGAGTACACCAAAACAACTTAATCAGATATGCAGTCACGTCCTTAAATTTTTTTTTGGTTCATTTTAAATTCATAAAAAATAATGACCAATACAGGAGTTTGCGTGTAAAAATAATTTTAATATACACAAAGACGTATTATTCTTGATAGGTAACGTGCAAATCATATCCATAAAAAGGGTCAAATAACTAAATAATAAATAAATATTAAAAACATGATGAACTAGGAGCAAATATAAGAACATGAAGATATGCAGCAAATGATGTGATAAACCAGTAAACTAGTGTCCAAAGACAAATGGTACTAGCATAGTAAACTAGTATGATAAATTAATAAGGGTTAATCTTTTCTCATTTTACATGAGAAAAGATTCTCATGTTACACATACAATCAAAAGGTGGGTCCCATATTTATTCTTTTGTCTTTTTACTTTTTTGTGGACCCCACTTATACATTTTTTATGTTTAAACCCAAAGTGCCATACGTAAATGTCTGCAAAATCTGCATCCTAATCACAAACCGCCAAAAAGTTTCAACGTCTCAAATTCCTATTTTTATTTCTCATACTATTCCCGTGAATTCAAATGACTTAGCAGAGACAGAGGTATCTTGAATCTTTGTATATTCAGATTAATCTATTATTATTATTTTATTTTTCCATCTAATCTATTCATTGTAAGTGTCGAACCAAACACAAAAAAATCATTTTATTTGATGCATACCTGAGAGTCTTTAATCAAACAGACTTAATAGGTGTTATGTTGAGATATATAAAACCATTAATGTAGCCTCACCCAACAGCTTAAGCTTTTGGGTTGAATTGATTCTTTACATGGTATCAAAGCCTCGTGTCCCGGGTTCGATCCTTGCCGCCACCCACTTACTTTCAAGTGGAATTTCTTTGTTCGCACGGGTAGGTGGGCCTGTGCATTGTCCACCCTTCAAGCCCAGTGGGCTCTCGTGTGAGGGGGTGTGTTGAGATATATAAAAATATTAATGTAGCCTCAACCAACAGCTTAAGCTTTTGGGTTAAATTGGTTCTTTACATGTTACTCCTCGGTGAAAGACCCCTCCAACCTCTAATAGCACAAAGGCCACTCGACGACGATGACAAGATGATATGGGGGCTTTCGATGAAGCACAATAGTGGATGGTCTTTCAGTGATAGTTCTAAGTAATGGCAAACAGTGTCAGACGTCTTCTGTCTCTTGTCAGCCCTTCTTGGTTGATGATGGTTTTTTAACTGGTTTGGTTATGTATCCCCCTATCTTCTTTTTTCTGTTTTCTTTCTCTTTTTCTATTTTCTAACTCACAGAGTTTTTCCACACCTTTCCTTTAGAACTTGCTCACTACTATCTCTAGGGATGTGCAAAATGTCCAAAAGAACTAAACCGATCCATAACCAAACCGCTCCACATTTTAAAAACCGGTTATTTTTAAAATTCGGTTTCAAATGAAACTGCATTTTATTTTATAAACGTTATTTACCAAACCATAAAAATAATTGGCTATCCATAGTTATTCATAACCAAACTATTTTACAATTAAAGAACAAATAAGTATTATCTTTTATCCTTAGTATTAAGATGTGAAAATTACATAAATATAAATCATTTTTAAATGTAACATTATTAGAAAAGTCTCAAATACTAACAAAATTTATCAAAGAAAAATATTTCGTCAAAAGTTTGACAAAAATCATATTACGTAAAAAATAGAGACGAATTTTTTTTTCGTTGAAACTAAAGACGGAACAAGATTTTGTCATAATCACTGACATAAATTTTTTAGGGACAAAATATTTCAGTCAAAATTCTTGATAGAATCTAAATTCCTTCGAAACTTTCAACAGAAACAATTCTATCGATCTTTTCAACGAAAAATAATTCTGTAAAAAAATTTGACGAAACACATTTCTATAAAAAAAAAATTGACAGAAAATAATTTCGTCAAATTTTTTTACAAAAAATATTTCCGTCCAAATTTTCGACGAAAAATATTTCCAGCAAAATTTTCAACAAAACGCATTTACAGCGAAAATTTTCACCAAAAATATTTACGTAAAAAATTTTGACGAAAAATACTTTCAGCAAAATTTTCAACAAAACACATTTACAACGATAATTTTGACCAAAAATATTTACGTAAAAAATTTTGACGAAAAATATTTTCAGCAAAATTTTCAACAAAACACATTTATAGCGAAAATTGTTACCAAAAATATATACGTAGCGATAATTTTGACCAATAATATTTACGTAAAAATTTTTGACGAAAAATACTTTAAGCAAAATTTACAACAAAACACATTTACAACGAAAATTGTGACAAAAAAAAATAAAAAATAAAAAAATAGTGGACCCTACTACTTTTATCTCTATTATATGAGATAACATGAGATAATTATTTCCAAAAAAAAAATACTTTCCTAAGCGACCTACTACACAGTGACATTGGTACAATTAAGTGAATTAACTATGTATTATTGAAAATACTGAGTTTTTCATAATAAAAATAATAACACAATTACTGGTGGCAAATTAGTAAAATTGCTACTCCATAAAGTAATAAGGAAGTATTCCTTTCCAACTCCATTCTAGAATACTCGCTACAGATGCTGAATTTTTTTTAACTTCTTCCCCAAATTGAATGGCACCATTAATGGACAACTTGAGCCCCTCTTCTCTCTTTTTCTTTTTATTGCATTGTGCAACAATTTTAGGCATAATTTCTTCTCAAAATCACAGCTCAATAAAACCAAGCCAAAACCTATTCAATCCTTTATGGATTCATTACTTTTAAAAAGAGGATTTAAACCAAAATTCCGAACGAGTTACTATACTTCCATCAATGGCAATATGAAAAAATAGGTTCCTTGATTGAAATGGTAAAATTTCATTCAGAAAATTCAAATAATTTTGAAGACACTAGGTTTAAAAATAAAATTCAATAAAAAGAAAACTATTTTCACGGACATGCATTCACGATCTCTATTCATAGAGATCAATAGAAACAAAAACAAGATTCACAATTCCTGATGGTCATTCAATTCACAATTTCGTTATGGTCATTTAAAAAAAAATACAATAATGATATAACAAAGACATTATCTTTGTTATATATTTGATTCAAATATCATAACAATCAAGAATCAAGAGAGCTGAAAGACAAAATAAATTAAATCCCAAAACTATCATATCAGATAAAACATAATTGAGTTCTAAATTATATAATTTAGGCTTTGATACCAAATATAAGAATTTTCAAAATAGGATTATATAATTTTAGAACACCAAAAGATTTAGGCTTACTTGTTGAAGACATGATTCTTGATTTTTTGAAGACTTCTTGTTTCCTCTAATGCTCTTGCAATGGAAAGACTAGGATCTTCCTATGTAATTCACACCACTCCCTGATCACAACCGTCGATGGGACAAGTTGTGGAGTAACGATTTTCTAACATATTGTGAATGCAGAGGGACCTAGCCAAACTTATTAACCCTAGTACTCTTCTCATCATGGGCCTATGAGTTAGGCCTACACTGTTATCCACGCTAATCAGTTTACAGATATCCAAGCCCAAATAAAAAGATCACTTAATTAAATGGGCTTTATACTGCACTCCTATATGGATCATGACTTAGCTCATTTTTTATTAAAATAAGAAAAACTACAATTGATTGAAGCCCACAATGATTATAAAATTTCTAATAGAATACACATACACCTGCCATTGATACTGACTTGAGCGTCAGAGTGTCATTGCAGGTACCTCCAGTCAGGTTCACAGCGCCGAAGGAGAACCAAGGTCCTATCGTCATCATCAACATCTACCAACCCAAAAGACAGATTATCCAAAAACCTTCTCACTTTTTTTTTTGATAACAAAATCCTTCTCACTTCAACTGTGTGTGATTTAGTCTGATACAATTTGACCAGCCCATATTGCATTTGGTCTGATCATAATTATAAAAACATCTTAATTTCTGTCCTTAAATGATATTATTGTGAGCTCAATAAAAATAACATACCTATATTTATTACAGAAAAAACCAATCCATAAATAATAAATGAGATAGGAATTCGGTCCTTTTCTTTTTCATGAATTGCGTCCAACAACTTATGCCAATAATTGTCACATGATATTTTAATGCTATCCTTTCGTCATACAATGAATACAAAATAATAGAATAATCGATGTGTGTGTACTTTTTATTTATTTTTTGCAACATGTTCAAGCGCATGAGACAATTAATGGGTCCTATTAATTCATTATTTTATATTCAATATATTTTTTTTAATTGATATAAAATGGTAAAAAAAAATGCATCTATTTATACCAAGAGCACCTTCTTAATCATGCTAACACAATTTGGCTACCGATCATTTTTTTAGATTTCTCCCAAATGTCTTAGCCTAGACATTAATAATATAAGAAAAAATGTTTATCTTTTTAAATGACACAACTTATATTTTTTCACTCTCATAAAGAGGTAAGACCCCTATCTTTATTTTTTTTGTTAACTCTCTTTCCTCCTTTATCTATCTCTTTCTCTCCCTTAAAATTACACAATTTTACATTTTTTTAAAATGAGAAAGCCTTTATCCATAATATATGGATTTTATTAATCTCCTTCCACGTAAGATAGTTATCTTATGTGGTAGAGAGAAAATGAGTGAGTCCTATCATTACAAGAAAAAAGAAAAAGAAAAAAAAAATGGGATGTGAAAATCGAAGTGAGAGAAAATGAGATAAGTTACCTCAGGTGGTAATGTGAGTAATATTTCCGATATAAATTCTAGGTACAATCATTCTCTATACAGAGTGGATTACTCTTGCTAAAATATCTTGGATATTTTTAGATGTTGGGCCATTAAAGAAAGGCATCGTCATCATTTTGGACTTGGCGTACAACTCAAGGTAATTGTACTTATGTTGAGTATCTGCTGACAAGTTATCGTCCCCAAGTTGAGTGTTACCGTCATTGTCGTCGTTGTCATCATCATCATCATCATCCTCAACTTCAAGTTGAGTATCTACTGCCAAGTCGTCATGATCGTTTTGGACCGGGAGTACAGGATTGGGTTGAGTTTCTTGGAGTGGGAGTACAGGATCTGCCAAGCCATCTAAACGGGAACGAAGAATGAAAAGAAAATAACTGAAACCCAGTCCAAGAATGGCCAACAGTAACTTTATCTTCATGAGTTGTGCTATTAGATTTCCACAGAAAAAATTTACGAGATCGATCTCCACTCCGGAGTGACTCAGTCTTGACAAGACGAATGACATGATAGCAAAAGCAGTGGAAGAAATCACGATATGTGCATCTGGCCTTACCTTCACCACTTTATCCCAAAAAAATGTGTACACACAAATGATGCTGAAAACCGAAAATGCAAAATGTGCTTTGTGCCAAGGACTAGTTTGTCTTTGCCTTTCCTTTGCAAGCAAGAGAACGAGGCAGATGATGATACCGAAAATACCATAAACAGAGATCTTCCACCATATCCACTTTCCAAACATGTAGGGGAAGGAGGAGCTCAAACCGAAACAGAGAAATCCAACAACCGATGAAACAACACCCACAAATCTCCATACCGTTGGCTGCGTCATGTTCTTTCTGAAGTGAACAAGAATGGCTTTCACAGACTAATATACAGAGCTTTGGCTGCATTCACGAGCCATCGTTTTTAAATCGGAAGAAACCCTTCTCATTCTGAGAAATTGCGAGGAAAGGGAACTGTAAAGAACCAATTCTATCTCAATAATAGGAACAAACAAAAGTTACATTTTGAACGCGTATCTCACTCGTTATTTAAAAGTTTAGAAAAAAAAAAGGGACAGTGTGTAGTGTGTACATTTGTAACTTTACTGAGGTTTCAACATTTTTTTCCTGTGCAAATGTATTCTTAATTTAAGAATACAAAGAAAAAATTATTTTGTTTTTCAAGCCTTTCACGTTGATCAAGTTGGTGTAAAATAAGAAAAGGAAAAAGGAAAGTAGAATTTAGTAAATAATAAGAAAAGGACTTATTTATGAAAATTTATACGCGTCAACGCGGAAGATGACTGATAGTGGACGACAGCAAGGAGAAATTTTTCGTGAAAGTTAAATTAATCAAATTCTAGTATCTTAACATTCAGAAATTATAATAAAATTATACATACTGCTTCGTTGTGCTCTAACCTCGTCTTTCAAACTTCTACTTACGGAGGTAAGTTTTATTGTATCTGTTAACCTGTCATACGAAAAGAAATCACACCTTTGAAGGAATTTTCCACTGCAAGCTCGTTATGTATTTTTGGTTTTGATGCTTACATCTTTGCTCTGATGTTCTCCTTTTAACACAATAAAAGCGTGCTCATAAACAAGTGGCAAAGACAAATGTGCTTCAGTTGAAAGACTACCAAAGTTCGAGGATCAAGTGTCATGGTTATCTTCACTATCTTTTCATGGTTTAGATTGTAAAGCTATTATATTAGGGAACAATATAAGAGTGAAAGTCCAAAAATGTTGGGTTTGACCCAAGTTCCTAATTTGAAGATTCTAATAAATAGTTTCCTATTTTATTTGTATTCCCCAACAAGAAACTCTGCAAAGACCCTGCTCAGGGCTCTTTTTTATCGATGTACATTGGAAGTTTGTATTGTTCAGAAGGCAAAACATAGTGGTGAGCTGGGAAAGCTGTTGGGTGTAGAGTGAAAGTAATTTATGGGAAACTGAATTTAGAATAAAGTATTGTAAGAAACGGAACAGAGGCTAAAGTTGTTTTATTTTGTTGTATTTCTTTTACCTTTTTTATTTTTTTTAAATACCAAAAGCTTCTTACCGGATATTTTTTTTAAAAAAAAAAAAAAAAAAACTTCTAAACAATTTTTCTAAAAAAATTCTAACATCAAAATCTTGGCAGTGCCTTGGAACATAGCAGTCCAATTGCACTTGTACAAAACCCACAAACTTGCATTAGTGAGGCTGCATAATAGAATTATAGATTGGGATTATTGACATCATATTATTGTTGATGCCATATCTGTTAACTGTTATAAGATTGATGGAAAGGCCTTTTCCTGGGAAAATGGTAGTTAGTACAACTGTACAAGACGTTAAAACAAGTTCAGCTGAGGTCTCCACCTCAAGCAACCATAAATGACGGCATAAATTATGAATAGAGCATATCATAGAAGATACCGATGACATGTATATCTATACCTTGTGAATCTATACCTTGTGAACTTCCAAGGGAGCTGTTGGTTCTACCTCTTGTTCAATCGCTTGGAAATACACACATATCTTACCAGCACCGAAACAATGGACGGAGGAGGGCCTAATTTTTTATGTAAGTTAATTAAAAAAAATGTAATTTGGTATTTCTCTAAACACATATCTTTTTCTTTGTTCTCTCATTAAAAATCTTGATTGGGTGTAATTGTGCACCAGAAATCTGAGAATAACACAAATGTTGCTCTAAAGTATTTGTTTTGTGTGTAACCAAAAAAAAAAAAAATATTTGCTTTGTGTTCTGTAAAGGCTTTCTTTCTATTTGGAATTTGGATGCTTGTCTTCTCATTGCTACGGCCTTTCTTTTTAAAAAAAAATAAAAATATATGAAACAAATTTTTTGGATGGATTGGAAAGGGTTTTAATTTTAATGTAAAACAGTAGTTTTAAAATCTAGGTACTAATCTACGGTTCAGTGATTAATTAAACCGTGATTGAATAGATAGTAATTAAATATTTTTAATATTAGACAATATATTAATTAACTAATATAAAATAAAAAATTAAGTTAGCTAAAATTGTAAACTAATACAAAAAATCATATTATATATTTTGTAAGATAAAAAAAAAAAAACAATGATAAAAAGTTAAATAATAATAAGGAAAAATGTTTATCCTTTTAAATGACACAACTTATATCATTTCACTCTTACAAAGAGGTGGGACCCATACTTTTATTTTTTTTGTCAACTCTCTCCTCTTTTATCTATCTCTTTCTCTCTCTTAAAATGACACAACTTTACACCCTTTAAAATGACACACACTTTACCCATAATAATAATAATAGTAGTTCATGTATGAAATATGAACTTCTACAAATTTAACATTAGGTTCAAATTATTTTTCTATTACCAGATCTCACCAGTCTTGTATTGATTTGATCAATTTTTTTATTGATTCTAATCTTCCGGCTTTATGGGTTGTTCAAACCAGCCAACTATCCACTTCACCAATTATTCAATCAGATCCAAACCCATTTCTTAAACCAACGTAAAAACATCGGAGTAGCAGAAAAGGGGAAAATAAAAAATAAAAAAAAAATCCATTGTATTAGAAATTGTATTTGGCTTATATAAATAGGAAAAAAATATGTGTCGTTTTAAAAGATATAAAAGTGTATCATTTTAAGTGAGAGAAATAATTAAATAAAAGGATAAAAAAATAAATAAAGATGTGAATCTCACCTCTTTGTGAGAGTAAAATGACATAAATTGTGTCATTTAAAAGGACAAATATTTTTCCCATATAAATATGCAAAAACTTGTTAAAGATCTCAGTGGAGCAAACAGTTGCAGCGAAGAGAAGATTACAAACGATGTAAAACGATCCATATATTCTTCAAAAATACAAAATAATTCCTGTTTTTGGTACCTGTGATTTCTCTCCAAAAGGGAACAAACTCAAACCACCGAGTGAAGAAGACTAGGGACCTTTTGAGACTAAATTAAATTTGAATTGAAATAATTGAGACCATGAGAGTAATTTAACTGCAACTAAATGACTCTACAAGTTAAATGAGTCTTTAAACCCAAAAGGACTCTTAAGATGTGAAGCAAACACAAATGAAGCTCAGCTAGCACCGGAAATCCATCTATAATACATTTTACACAATTTAGTTATAAGATTTGCTTTATTCAACTGGAAAAAGAAAATAAAACACACAAACAAAAACAAAACCAAAACCTCATAAAGCTGCAGGAGTCAAACAAATAGCAAGGAATGTACAACAGCAAGTATGATTTTAATGATGTGTAAGAAATGTTCAAAGAGGTACAAGTGTGAAAAAGAGCCTAGGAACTCGCAAACTGCTGCTTTTAGTTTATTGTCATCACTACAGACATATTCCGTGAGAGTGGCACATCAATGAATAAAGAAGTAAAATTAAAATTTTAAATTTACAGCCATAGATCAAGTGCTTTCATTCACGTATCCACGGGTCTCTTCAACAACTTTTGTCCAGACATTTGCTATTTTCTCAGCATACCCCACCTATTAATTCACACAGAGGCTTACTTACATGGAGACAAAGCAGCAGATGAATGCAACTAAAGATAGCATCAACAAACAAGGGCATATGAGACGACAAATTAACAAAAGTTGACTGAAGTATACGGCTTTTCGGTTCACATTAAATTTACCACAAGATTAGAAGCACACACGCACTAGTGATGAATTTAAAAGCAGTTAAATCCATCTCCAACTGTTCTTATAAGCAAAAGCACTAGTTAGCCACTAGAACATCGTATTCTCAGGCTTTGCAAGCAAGCTTTGTGATAAGAACCTTGGAATGCACCACCCCAAAAGCTAGCTCAAAGAGTGGGAGTGTCGAAGGCCTTATAAACCTCACATTAGTTGCCCATACAACTAATGTGAAACTCCAAGTCTCATACCGTACAAATGGGTCCTAACATTCCACCATGCTCCGCAGCCTCGACGCCCACGCAAGCTGACTTTACGCTAGTCTTTTACTAGCCCCGGTCGAACACTGCAATGTTGGCATCACCACCCGTGCCGTTTGATTGCAATCGGGAGACATAGTGGAAGGCTCTGATGCCATTTGATAAGAACCTTGAGATACACCACCCCAAAAGCTAGCTCAAAGGGTGGGAGTGCCCAAGGTCTTATAAACCTCACATCAGTTGCCCATACAACTAATGTGAGACTCCAAGTCTCATACCGTACAAATGGGTCCTAACATTCCACCACGCTCCGCAGCCTCGACGCCGACGCAAGCTGACTTTACGCTAGTCTTTTACTAGCCCCGTTCGAACACTGCAATGTCGGCATCACCACCCGTGCCGTTTGATTGCAATCGGGAGACATAGTGGAAGGCTACCATTTGATAAGAACCTTGGGATGCACCACCCCAAAAGCTAGCTCAAAAGGTGGGAGTGCCAAGGTCTTATAAACCTCACATCAGTTGCCCATACAACTAATGTGGGACTCCAAGTCTCATACCTTACAAATGGGTCCTAACACTTTGACAATTTTAACATCTTACAGAGATCAATGGATCATCTCTACCCTGATTTAATCCATTTCATTAATGATGCACACATGATGCAAGCACCACGTGGGTTAGTTAACCACGTGGTTCATACCCCTTTATTCGTTTCTTTTGTTTCTTCTCGAATATACCCTCCAACTAGGTGGTTTATACATTTGATGCGTAACAATATGACAATTTTATTGTCAGAACAAAACCAACAAAAGTGACATGGCTAATCCTTTCACAATAAGGATGCTTAAGAATAAGTTTTCTCCAAGCAAAATCTCAACTATTTTCTCCTTCAAAATTTATTAAGTTTATCTCTTCAATTCTTGAATCCCATTCTGGATCATATAATTATTTCTACTCCAGTAGATTTCTTTTTTAGTAAATACTCCAGAAGATTTTATTGATAGAAATGAAAGCATCTTATTTAATTATTTTTACCTCATTGAAACTTCTAGGCTCAAATAAACCGACCACTCACTCTTGTTTTCTCTTTCACCAGGCATCCCCCGCTCATTGTAAGTATAAAGTTCCCTAAAACTAGTGCATTATTTAACTTGATAAAACAGCCATAGTTCACAACTTCACATCTATATAAACGTGTTTAGACACTAGCACGATTTATCAATTATTTTATTAGTTACTTCACTGGCATGACAAGGGACATACAAAAGAGGGCTAACCTAGTGCTATAAAGCTTCGTCTATGTGCTGGGTCCAGGGAAGGGTCAGACCATTGTGTGGATCTATAGTATGTGGCAGTCTTACCTTGCATTTGCAAGAGGTTGATTACATGATTCAAACCTATGACCTCCGACTCACATGGCAACAAAACCAACGATTGCGCCAAGGGACATATATGTCAGCAAAAACAACCTTAACACCAATTTATGTAAGCAGAAACACTTCTAAATTACCTCACTCATTAGAGTTTACGCCACAGAATAGAAAGTGTTTATATACATAGAATGTAAACTATCAAAGGAAAATGCAGATTCCACTTAATGAGGCACTCTAAAAAGAACATAGATAAATGATACCTGATTAACTACGAATCCTTTCAACATGTTTAAGAAGTCAGACTGCCTCTCTCTGTCAAGCCTTTCAAGTTCACTCCTATTGTTTTCCTGCATTGGCATCATCATCATCCAATATCCAGTTAAAGATAAAGTAAACCAATAAATAAATGCATAATGCAAAAAATAAATAAAAAATAAATCTTGAAATGAAATCAGACATGGAGCAGATCAATATTAGTCAACATTTGAGGTGATATTTTAGGATTGAACATAGACAAGCAGAGATGAGAAAAGAAAGAGAAAGGAGAGATAACACCATAACATGTTAAATCCAAACATAATAATTATAGATAAGATGCTTTAACCAGAATGCATGAAACACAAGGCTAACAGATGTTCAATAATGTGGAAGAAGTAAAATAAAAGTAAGATAAGACATTCAAATGCAATTGACGTAAGTGCTTTAGAATTCTAATTAAATAAAAAGTGCACAATCATTTGCATGCAGCCCTCAAAGTACCCTATACAAAGCAATGTAGCAGACAGAACACTAGATCCCACCTCTACCAGATCACATTTTACCAATTTTTCAATGGGGTATTTGCTGTGATTCCCAATAACAGGGTTTCCTAATCGAAGTTTTTGTATTTAATAGCAGGGATTGAATTGATAACACTAAGGGGGTGTTTGGTTCAAGTTTTTGGAGAGGATTACCGGTAATCCTTCTTTGGTAAATGTAATTACCACGTTTGGTAGAAGGAATAAATTACGATTCCCGGATATCCAAGGATTACCGGTAATTTGATTTATAAAGAAAAGTCACTATTCAGATTACCAAAAATAATATGGTAATTCGGAATACCAATCAGAATACCAAGTAAAGGGAAAGCACAACAATAAATTTTGAGACAAAAATACCCCAATACACATAAAAATCTAGACCCAATCTATCAATTACAAAAGTAAAAATAGTTTGGGGTTATTTTTGTAAAATAACCTCATATTCCAAGTCATATTTCGTTCTAAACCAAATATGGAATCAGTAATTTTTACCTAGTATTCCCGGTAATATTTTGGCGAACCAAACACATCTTTCGTAAGATTCCAAGTAAACTCAATTTCTACTGAATTCCCATTAATCATGATTCCCGGTCACCAAAAAATTTCTCCTGTACCAAACACACCCTAACAGGCTAAAATAAAAGTCACATAAGCTTAGTGTCAAGAATTTCAGGTTTAAGGTTAGTGAAGAAGGAAAAGAGAGAAAGGTAGCTTACAATAATAAACTCAAAATATGATTGATATATGTAATGAGTTACAATACCCAAACCTAAAACTCGTATTCATACTAATAATTATGTGAGTCAAGTACCAGTACTACTAGCACAAAACCCAAGCTCACAAACAATAAGACCAATAATCTAATAACCCTAACATCTTAACACTACCCCTCAAGCTTTAGCTTGTTACAAGTAGTGAACCCACAAACTTAAGACAAAGAATACCGGCCCATCTTGCCAAACAACTTAGGCAACTAGTACTCCCCTTGAATCACAAATCTTGGCAGATAGCTCCTAGCTTCTCCTCAGCAAACATCCCAAGCAAATGAGAGAGTTTCCAGCATCTTAGACCTTCCTCCTCGGTCGCCCCCTCAACCTCCAAACTGATCCCCAAACTCTATGTCAGGTATCATGGACCTCCAACTGAATCTCCAAAACACTGAGTGAGGTCATTTACTAGTGTCTACAGTCTTCAAACCACAAACCCTTGAAAAACTAGACCACAGTAAATTACTTTAAAGCCTTAAACAACATCTCAACTCAATGCAAAACAGGCCAGGCAAAGATGGAAGAGACTGATACAATCCTATCCTAGTCAGCAAACAGTTTAGAAGTGTGCATAGAAGAAAGAGAAGCAGAGGAATATTGCATAATGCTGAGTCAGCAAAAGTTGTTAGGAGTAAGTCACATTGGATAGCATGGGGTCACGTTGGGTGAGTTGGTTCTATTTAGATGAGGGGTTGAGCATTCTCGAGGGGATCTGAAATCGTTGGGAAGTATTGGGATACTTTTGGATATTGGGAGAGAGTGAGACCTCTAGAATTGTCTCACATTATCTTTACTGCATTTCCTTTTACTGTTAATTGCATTTTTCAGTTTATTGTATTTCCTTTCTTCTTGTAATTTGTCTCTGAATTACTGTATCAGTTGTAATTGTCTCTGGAAAAATATATAAAAACCTGATTATTCAGACCAATGATCTCTATTATTGTCCTTATTTTAGTAATCTGAGTAGAAGGTCCGTAACAGACCCCAAACACTCTAAATAAAGACAGAACAACAACCAAACATGCCAAACAGCAATACCGCAACCAAACAGAGTGAATCCTCAATCCAAACAGAGAGTCATCACTGAGAAGAGAGAACAAATTCAGCAGAAAAGGGAGGAAAATCAGTTCTAAGATGCTGAACCAGTGCAAAGAAGAAGACATGCCTAAGTTATTTGGGAGACTGTTGGACTACCCAAACGAGGCACAAAAGAGAAGAAAGGAAGGAAATAACTGGAAAACACTTATAAGATGCTGGCACCAAAAAAACAAGAAGATATATTGATCACTAGAAAATACTGGGGAAGTGTCCCCTTTACAATAAGACTCCTCACAGTAATCACACAGCACCAAGGACTGACCTACAATGCTAGAGGCCTCTGGCCAAAGGAAAAAGAACACAATAACCTACACTGAGAAAATACAAGACACTGCAATGAAGGAAAGAAACAGTAAAGCACCAAATAACCAGCTCCTCGACAAGGAAAACACACCAATCCTCATCGAGTCCCTTCCCCAAGATTCTACTCAATTCTTGGATTTCCCCCATTCTCTCTCTCTCTCTCCCCCCTTATAACTAACTCCTCATTACCATTCAACGCAAGTCACGTGGAATTCCTTATTACAACCTTCATCCCTTCCTTTTCTGTTACTGCCTTGCTATTACCACTACTGGCCCCTGTTGGTTCTTTGGGCTGATAACCTTGGCCCTTTCTCTTCCTCCACTTCTTACATTCATAAACCAATTTCAGGGGTCCATCATAAGATGTTGGAGATGCATCCCACACCAAAACCACAACCAAACAAGAAACAAGAGTAAAATGGATCATGAAAAAACCAAAGAATCAGCAATAATAGAAGTAAAAAATGCAATCTGAAGAGGATGCTTGACAGAAAACCTCAAACCCACAAGAGAAACACCATCTGAAGTTTCTGAAATCATCTCTAATCAAGACAGAATCCAAAAATAGGAAGAGGAGGAACAGAGTCTGAAACAGAAAAAATGGAAAAACGGGGTTTGCCAGAAAATTTTACAAAGCTCCGTGTTGTATATAAAACAACTCATGTGCCTTCACCTAACAACTCAAGATTTTGGGAGTGGTTCTTGACATAGTATCAAAGCCTCTATAACATGCTCTGATATTATGCAGAAATTATAGGGTTTGGGTGGGGAACAAGAAAAAGAGAAGAAAGGAATGGTAAGAATAATAAGATTATATTTGCAGCAGAAGAGAGTCACCAACAGGAACTCTATGAGAAACAGATTCTGACTGAGATACTGAGGAGAGAATGTACAACCGTGTAATCAACTCAACTCGATGCCAGAGAAAGGAGACTCTCCTCGATTTGGATGGTATACCATGTAAAGAATTTCAAGCTTTAGGGTTAGGGGAGAGAGAGAGAGATGGCTAATAACCAAAATCGCATAGTCATATTTATACTAATAATTAGGTCAGGTGCCAATACTACTAGTACAAGCCCAAACCCACAAACAATAAGACTAATAACCCTAATATCCTAACACTTACAAAATGTTTCCAATGTGGATGGATATACAAGGAGCTCGATGTACGGATTTACAAACACACTTAGGTCTGCGAATACAAAGATCTGAACATCTATTCTCTAACAATTTAAGAAATATCTGTAAAGGATGGTGGATGATCAATCACAGAAAGCTTTATGATTGTTAGAGAAAAACAAATTGATATACACTAAAATTTTAACTTTGATGAATATAGAACAAGAAATTGAACAAAACACAATTTAATGGATCACAATAAAGAGAAACATTATCAACAGAATCTTAGAAACTTGAAGCATATGCTATTTTGGATCACAAACTATCCTCAAAGCATTAAGCTATTTTAAGACAACTATCTAGACAAAGAAACCAATAAAATTCTAAAACCTGTAAACCATACCTTGATCCGCTCATATTCTCTAATTGCAACATTTTTGGCATCTTGAGTGACTCTTATGGTTTCTTGTAGCTCCTCTAACTTACGAATCCTTGTTTTGTCACCCCCAAAAATTTTAGATGATGCCGCTTCAAGTTTTTCAGCTCTTGACTGCAAAGAAGACATTTCCGATAGAAGAGTCTGCACTGTCAATAGGGCACTCGAGCGATCCGAGAAAGCACCATGAACAGACAACATTAATCCAAGATATTCATGAAGTGTATCCTGCAGTGCATAAATTGGAAAATCATCAACATATCTAGTGGGTTGGGTTGCCCTTTATTAAGGAATAGTGATACCTTAGTAAGAATATGCCAACCTATGGTATGTATATATTGGAAGGAATTTGCTTAAAACAGACAACTCAACGGGAAATGTATAGTTCAAAAATTAACATTACAAAAATCCTGTTATGTACCAAATGCTTCACAGTCTGAGCATTTAATTCTCGAAATAATCTGCTAGCTTTGACAGCAGCTGTTGCTACACCTTTCATGTCAGCAGCTCGTACCCTCTGAGAGTTCAAGACAGCCTCCTCATTCTCAAATTTTGTCAATTTAATAAATGCCAACCCTAATTCACCCATTGTCTCTCCCATATCTTGCTGAGCTTTAACAAGTGATTCGGCCTGCACATAATTGGAACACAATGGGAAATTTTGTATTAACCAATAACCATACAGTCATAAAATCAGTAAAAGAATGTAAATGACGAGTTATCAGAGACACGGGCAGACATAGAGGTATATCCAGACTGTCTTGAGAGCTGAAATTGAAAGTAACAGTGAAAACATAAAACCCAAAGAAAAAAAAAAACACCTGTTGAGATGCATTATTGATTTGCTGTTCAAGCACTTGAATCATTTCCTTCTTTTCCAGGAACTCCTTGTCTTCCTCCACAACCAGAGGCTTGGAACCTCCCCAGTCATTAGCCACAGACTGCTTCAACTCCTTAAACAACCTCATCAAATCCATTCCCCCTTTAGCGGGCTGCACAACATCATGTGGGGCAATCACACTCTCCCCCATCAACTGCTTCGGAAGCTTGGCCGCACCATCCAACACTCTGGCCGTCATGTCGGTTGTTGCCAGCAGGGGAAGCTTCCCCTGAACCTGCAAAAACACTCTCAACTCGTCACTCTTCATGATCACCGGATGAACCGCCAATCTCCTTAAATACTTCTCCAATGCCACCCTCCTCTGCTCCACAAACTCCTGCTTCTGCATCACCTGGCTCTCCACTATGCTCTTATCCGGCCTCGGCGGTATGAAGAACCCTCGATACGACTCCGCCAACCGATCAGAAAGCGTCACCACATCCCTAAACCTTCTCCGAACGCCGAATTCGGAACCACCGAACTCCGGAATGTTCGTTCTCGTCGTGATTAAATAGGTCACGTAACTGCTACTACCGGGAACCATCGAATTCGAGTTATCTTGCTCCTTAACCGGGTTCGAAACGGTTATCTTTATATACTCCGAACTCGAAGACGAAGATCTTGAGAGAGAGAGATCCTCCGAACTGCAGGTCGGGCTATCGACGCCGTTGGTAACGGTTTCGCCGTCCAAGGGGCTGAAAACGGTGTCGGCGCAGGAGGGAGGGTCGATGTAAGAGAAATTGACGGGGGAGTTAGGGTTTGGGAATTCACGGTAATGCTGAGGCGGAGATAGGAGGGGATCGGAATCCGTGGGGATGGCGACGATCGGCGGCGAGAGTGGGTGGTGGGATTCGGAGAGCGTGGACATGGCGCTACGGTAATTGGAGAACGATTTACTACTCAACGGATCGTCATCGTCGTGGAGGACGAGGTTTTCCATTTCTTCTTTGGATGCAGAGAGAGGATGCTCCTCCTCCGAGCTCTGGTTCTCAGAGCCCATCATTTTTCTTTCTCTGATAGTAAGATTGAGATGGAAAGTGCAAGAGCTTGCTTCTTCAATCAGCAAGCATGGTTGAAGAATAAAATGAGTGGAATCGTGAAACTGAGGGTGAAATTGAGTTGGGGGTTCGCATTAGGGATTTGGCAGTGTCAGTGTGTGGCATGTGTCGTTGGTGGGGGCTAACGTGCGCCGGGTGTAATGGTTTGAGATGCTAAGGTTGAAGAAGACCATGCAGGCAACAGATCAAAATGGAAATGGCAGGCACTGGTAGATTTACAGCTCTGATTTTTATTTTTATTTTTTTACTTTTTAAAAAAAATAACTAATATAATTATTTATTTATTGTCAACATGCTTTTTAGAAAATATTAAGTTTAAAATAATGTAAAATGTGCCGTTTTATTCAAATGATAATTTTTTTTGTTTTGTTTTAGTTTTCGTTTTATCTACTCATTTGTTAATAATATTATATTAAATTGATTAGAAGAAACTTTAGGACTATTTATAAGAAAGAAAATTTATTAAATTATTTTTTTTCAAAAAAATTATAAATGTTAATTTGTATATTTTATTTTTTCATACAAACGAATGTTACCTTATCTATTTTTTTTTTTTTTGATACATAATGTTACCTTATCTAACTATATATGACAATATATTTCAACTAGTAAATATAAAAAGTATTAATTAAAGGGTCCGTCGCTTCTCATGTGACTGCTGATGAGAAAAGTTGCAGCAAATTTTTAACACTAGGATACATGTACGGATCCTAGGATATACGTGCAGATTCTATCAAAAAAAAAAAAAATCAGGATTCGGAGACGTATCCTGATAAAAGTAAGTGTTGCTGCACTTTTTTCCTTCTGCAGTCACGTAAGAAGTACTTTACCCTGATTAAATAACAGTAAGGACTTGAAAATAACAATAGCAAGAAAATTACGAAACAATGCTAATATGAGAATAAAAGATAAATACAGTCTAAAGAATTTAGAACATAAACAAATTCATTTTTAAGCAAAATCGGAAACAACATCGAAATCACATAAATTTAACCTTATTCATTAGTTTAACATTGTTATATAATAAGGTTTCAAGAGAATATGTCTTAAAAATAAGCCACTAGAACACTTAAAAGCAGCATGAATTTGACATAATATACTTACCGTAAACAGAAGCCACGAAAATTAATTTCATGTCACGCACTTATAAAGATATATCAACCCTAGGACAGAACACAGCTGTTAATTGTTATTTTTTCTATTGCTCCTGCATCATGCAAGAAACAAAGGTAATCTTAGAGCACCATCGACACTGCTAGTGATATAATTGGTCTCATAACCGTTTGTGCTTGCCTATAATTTATTGTTTTTGTTTCAATTGATTAAGTATACTCTAGCTTCTAAGAAGTGCTGGATAGTCAAAGTTTTAAGCTAATTAAGATTGAGCAGTAGTTTGATTCTGGGTTCTTTTTCTTCCCTGCCCCTTCCAAAATTGTAAGAATAAAATATAAATACTTATTGATTCTAATCTTCTAGGTTGAAGATATAATACCCACTTAGCTGCCCACCTCGTGGATTGGACAAAGAACAAGCAATACTAGGAGAGAGTACAAAGGAGTTAGTTCATAAAATTTGAAATTTATGCTAAACATAATTAACTAGTTTAAATCAAGACAAATGCAAAAGAAAAGCTAATTTTTAGAAAGATAGTTTGGGTTCTCCCAAGACTGTTGGTCACCAGAGCCAACGACAGCTCAACAGTCCAGGCTGGTTTCAGCTTCAAGAAGTTTTAGTGACATCCATAATGAGAATGTAAAAGTATATGCAGAGCTATAAGATGTTCGGAGTGTGGACATTAAAAACAATGTAGGATTAAAGTCATTGAAGTTATAACCATCTTTGTCATCAATTTGGTTTAATGTGTTGCAAAGATATAAGTCCAACAAAACTTGTTATTGCAGCCTACTATAGAAACTTATTTCTAACTTGTCTCTAAAACCTTCATGCAACTGTTACATCTAGCAACACTTTTTAAGTGATGTGTCCTGCTATAGCTTGCTGACATAATATTGTCGCTGCTTTTTTATTTGGGTATATTAAATAATACTGAGCTTGATATAGTTCTGTATAAAACATGTTCCATTTACTTATTTTGTGGCAACTGAACTCCTGATAGGCATTTTGTGGCAATGGAGGAGAGAAGCTGTTATTTTCAGTTGAAGGATCACTAAAGAAACATGTTGCTTCAGATAGTTTACATGAGCCTGAAGGTGATCTACCTTTTCTCTTTCTAATATATTACGAATATTGAATGATAATATTGCATGGATTATATAGTCAATAGCATGAATACTTAGGTTTTATATTGAAAATCATGGAAATTGGATTTTTATCTAACATATCTTGTTTTTATTGGTTTTGAAGGCAAATTAATACAAATTTGAACAAGAATGAATTTAAAGATTGAAGTTGGAATTGGAAGATAATTTTGCATCTAAGAAGTTGAATCTACAGAGATGAAGCACGTTGAAATGTTGTTTAGCACGTTAAAATGTGCTAACTACTCAGCAAATATGAAGAACCTGAAGAGAACATTCAAATGTTATAGATCAACATTCAAATGCTCTAGACAACATTTAAACGCCCTCCAGCATTTAAACGCTCTAGTCAACATTTTAACGCGCTAGTATGAAAGAAATCACAGCCAAGAAGCGCGTTCAAATGTTAATTCCAACATTAAAACGCCATGTAACAGAAGAGAAACGCACTGCTCAGCGTTTTAATGTCACTGTCAACATTCAAACGCGCTCTCAGAAAGAAAATTGCCATCCAGGAGTGCGTTCAAATGTTACATTCAACATTTGAACGCGCTAGCAAGAAAAAAGTCACATCCAAGGAGCGCGTTTAAATGTCAATTCCAACATTAAAACGCCATCTAACAGCGGAAAAAATGTGGTGATAAACATTTGAACGTGCTTATCAACATTTGAATGTCCAGCTGCGATGCAATTCAGATTCAATTTATAAAATCATCCAATTGAAGATATGATTTGAGATGTCATAAGATTCTGTAGAAAATTAAAAGATATAGTCTTATGGCTATAAATAAGGAGCTTTTGGAGAGAGTTTTGAAGAATCAAGAGGAAGAATCTTGTTGCGGAGCATTGGAGCACTGAAGAGTCAAGACAACATCACTTCAATGGAGTCTTGGGAAACTATTTTCTTTCCAATTGTTTTTGAATTCCATATGCTAGGTTAAGTTTTTATGTAGTTAGAGGTAGATGGAACCCAATTTAATCTTTATTCTATGAATTAAATTGTCTCTGAATTCTTCTCTTTCTATATTTGAATGAATTTATCTGTTTTTAATGCTTTCTATGAGTTTGCTCTTTATAGATTGATTTAGGGGAATTGTATGACAATAGAGATGTTGGTGTATGAACCCTGATTTGATAAATTCATCATAATCCTTGTGATCTAGGTATAGACATAGGGCAATTGTGCAATCTTTGAATTCTTGATTTTAATGCATGTTTTCTTGATAAACAATCAGGGAACTAGGATTCTTTCAAGATCACATAGAATTAAGGTAACAAGAAATTGAGCCTTAATCAACTTAGAAAGAATTGATTGGCATTATATTAAGGGCAGATTCTTGACTATTTAATTCATAGCATAAAGAGAAAGTTGGAAAAAGTCGAAACCTTAACTACGTTCTTTCTTGATTTTCAAAACATTAATCTTTTTACTTTCTTTCTTTTAATTCTGAAATTGAATGCTATTGCTTGTTTTTAATTTCAATTCTTTTCATCTCAAATTCGATTGTCCAACTAAATCGTTGTTAGCGAACTAGTGCTTGAAAATCAATCCTCGTGGGAACGATCTCGTACTCAGTACACTTTATTACTTTTACCACCGGTGCACTTGCCGAAGTCGCAACAAGTTTTTGGCGTCGTTGTCTGAGATTAGGTCTTTCAACATTAGAAGAAGCTATAAGCAATCTAGATTGGACTTTTTATTTTTTTTGCAATTTAATTTTCTGTATTTATATAATTTTATTCTGTTTTATTTTATTTTATTTTTATTGTTGTTTTTTTTAATTGTTTTTTTAATTGTTTTAATTATTTATTTATTTAATTTTTAATTTTTCAATTTTTTAATTTTTTAATTTTTTAATTTTTAATTTTTTTAATTTCGTTTATTTTATTTTATTTTAATTTTATTATTATTATTATTTGCATTTATTTATTTAGTTTTTATTTAATTATTCTATTTTCTGGTTTATGCGAGGTGTTGTTGATAAAAAATCCTTGCAATTCGACCTAGAGATAGAGAAGACAACTAGAAGGCTTGAAAATAACGCAAAAGATCAAAAAGAAAAAGAAGTTTCAAGCTCGAAGGAAGAAACCATGGCTGACAACAATAGGATTCAGAATCTTCAAAGAACCTTGAGAGATTACATGACTCTAGCCCGAGTTCCGCAGACGGCAAGCATTGTTAGACCAAACGTGGATGCTAACAATTTTGAGCTCAAGCCCGCATTGTTGCAACTGATTCAAAAAGATCAGTTCGTCGGAGGAAGCACGGAAGACCCTTACATTCATCTCAAGAATTCTCTTCTTTATTGAGACACCTTAAAGATGAATGGAGTCTCTCGTGATGTTATCTTACTCAGGCTCTTCCCATGCTCACTAAAGGAAGAAGCAAGAGGTTGGTTGCAATCACTGCCTCAAGGAAGCATCACCAACTGGGATGACTTAGCGACCAAGTTCTTGGCTCGATTTTTCTCATCTCCAAAGATGGCAAAGCTCAAGGCGGACATCACTTCTTTTGAACAAAAGAAAAGTGAATCCTTATATGAAGCATGTGAATAGTTCAAAGGACTACTCAGGAAGTGTCCACAACATTGTTTTGAAGCTTGAGAAAAAGGACAAATTTTCTTCAAGGAATGACGCCTAACACAAGAACCTTGGTGAACGCTGCATCGAGAGGATCCTTGAAAACAAAAACTTCAGAGGAAGCATTGGAATTGTTGGAATATCTAGCTTCTCAGGAGTTTGATAATGCTCCACTACCACAGAGGAGAGCGGGGATCATAAAGCTAGAAGGATATGATGCATTGTTGGCACGGAATGAGCAGATTTTGCAAATGAACAAGAAGCAACAACAACAGTTGGATGCCCTCACAAACTTCCAAGTCTCTTCAGTTAATACTTCTCCTGTTAGGTGTGGAATTTGTGCAAGTGCTCATGCTACAGAAGAATGTGATTTGATGAGAGAACCTGAAACTGCTGAAGTAAACGGACTCTGGTATGATCCGAAGAACCAGAATAATTCGGGGAGGAACCAGTTTGGAAATAACTACAATCAAGGGTGGAAGAATCAGAATCAGCATCCAGGATTCAGTTACAAATCCAACCATCAGCTTAACTCTCCCCTTCCAGTGCAACCACATCCCTCATAATAAAGTAACACTTTTGAGTAGGAGAAAGCTTTTGCACAGCTATGCAAGACCATTTCTGATTACATACAAGGTGCAAATACTTTCAGAGAGGATACATCTGCTTTCATGCAAGAGACTAGATCAGCACTCCGGAATCAAGAAGCTTCCATAAGAAATCTGGAAACTCAGATTGACTAGTTGTCAAGGCAATTTGCTGAGAGAGCTAGGGTACCTTCCCGGGAGACACTATCATTAATCCTAGAGAGCACTGTACTGCAATTACCACAAGAAGTGTGACAGTGATTCAGCTTATAGAGAAGCAACCTGAAGAAAAGAAGAGAGATGTGGAGGCATCGGTTGAAGAAAAGAATAAAGAAAAGGCAAAGGATATTATTGAAGTTGAAAAGAGCAATCCTGAAAAAGTCGAAAGTAAATTATTTAAGTGGGAGAAGAAGAAAGCTTTAGAAAGGCAAGACAAGCCTTTAGATCTATCCCCATGTGCTCGAATCCCTTATCCTCAGAGATTAAAGAAAGAGATTCAGAAGTAGCAGTATTCAAAGTTTCTAGACATATTCAGGAGGTTACAGATCAACATTCTTTTTGCTGAAGCTTTAGAGAACATGCCCAATTATGCAAGGTTCATGAAGGATCTGTTATCAAGGAAGTGTAAGTTGCGAGAATGTGATATAGTAAATCTGACCGAAGAATGTAATGTTATCATCCAGAAGAAGTTACCTACCAAAGTCAAGGATCCAAGAAGCTTCAGCATTTCATGCACTATAGGCAAAATGGAAGTGGACAACGTTTTATGTGATCTTGGAGCTAGCATCAATGTCATGCCACTCTCTATGATGAAGAAGTTGGGGATTATTGAAGTGAAGCCCACAAGAATAATAGTGCAACTGGCTGACCACTCTTCAAAGCAAGCTTATGGCATCATTGAGGATATACTGGTAAAGGTAGACAAATTCATTATCCCTGTTGATTTTTTCATCTTTGATATAGAGGAAGATGCCACAATTCCAATGATCTTCGGAAGACCCTTCTTGACAACCTCAGGAGCACTGATTGCTGTGCTTAAGGGTGAACTGATCTTACGGGTAGACGGAGAGAAAGAAGTATTCAAGTTCTTTGACAAAGAGGATTTTACACCTGAAGTTCAATCGCAAGATCAGGTTTACTACCTTGGAGTAAAGAAAGAAAAGGAGGAATCTTCTCGTGAAAGTAAGCCAAAAGTTAAGATGGAGAAACCTGGTAGCAAAGGAAAGCATGTAAAAGTCAAGTTCAAAATTTCTGAGACTACTTTACCTCATCCATATGCAGAAGAGCACTATGGTAGGACATAATTTCCGAATGATGGGGTTTGGTCATCACCAAGCTCATGCTTTGAGCCACCATGATCACAAGTCAGGTATGTCAGGCTCATGACGTAAAACAAGCGTTAATTGGGAGGCAACCCAACATTTTACTATTTTCAATTTTTCTATTTTAGTTATTTCACTTTTAGTTAAATAAAGGAAATTAAAAAAAGATTATAGGATGAGATAATGATTTAATCAAGAGCAGGTTGAATTCTGAAGCTATTAATATGACCTAGAGTGCATAGCGACTAGCTTGTTTTCCTTAATTCTCGCTGCGATTTTCTTTTTTAGATTTAAATAAGTTGCTGGGGACATCAACATTCAAATTTGGGAATGGGGAACATGTGATTCAACAGGAACTACTTTACTTAGTCGGAAGGACTTCATGAATTCAAACAAGATATCTAGCTAGGACAGGGAAATATCTCAACCCTCCTTCTTTTTAATTAGTGTAATTTCTTTTGAATTTGATTTTGTTAGTTGGTTAGAGTTTTGAAAACCCCAATCCATTGTTTTTGTAAAAATTTTAAAATTTTCTTACTCATTGCAAATAAATGGATGATTGGCAAGGAATTTGATTAGTGATTTGAACAAGAGTATGATGATACACTTCATAATTTTTAACATGCATTGATTTTAAGTAATTTTCATGATTCATCTGATCTTTAGAAAAGTAATGAGATTAATTTGGATGAAGATTAGGAAGTTAACTGTACACCCATAGTCGTGAGGTTTTGAGCCTATACATAAAATTTTTATTTGGTGTGCACTTCACTGTATGAAATACTCTAGAACTTGCTTTGTTTCTTGCTTGAGATGGTCCATGATTTATATTGTTGAGATGATAGAGGCATGTTCTTTCTGTTAACTAGATGGCCAAATAGCCAACCCTTATGTATGTTATACCTTTGTTTGAGCCCCTTTGACCCTAGGCCTGTTTATTCCTTGAAAACCTATACATATGAATAGTCACTTCCCGTACACATCCTTACCCTAATTGAGATTAAATTTCATATTCAGAGTGAGGAATGAATCATAATTGTATATTTAAAGTTTTGTTGTATGAGAAAGTACGGGTGAAAAAGGGCAAATGCCAAAGAAAGTATGGTTGGTGAAAGAAAAAGAAAAAGGAAAGAAATCAGAAAGCAAAACTTGAAAAAGAGAAGTGTTATAGAAAAAAGAAAGTGAATAATTGGAAAGTTCAAAGTAGGAAGAGCAAAGGAAAAGAAGAATAAAAAGATTGAATTATACCTATTCCTCTTTGAATGTGATTCTTAATCTTTTAGTCACTTCTCCCATTTAATTTCTTCCCTTTTAGCCAGGCCAAGTTACAACCACAATAAAGACCTCTTGATCTGCTTTATAGGTTATTAAGACTGTGGAGAGTGAGAATATGAGCAAGCCTATGGTAGTATTGATTCAATGAAGGATGAGTGAAACACAAACTCTCAAACACTTGAGTTCGAGTGAATTGAAAATCCTAGTTAGGGGTGGTTTAGCTTAATGTTCCTATTCTTTGTCTGATGAAGTTTTGTTACAATTATATGATTGATGGATTGTGAATCTTGCTTAAATTGATGTATCATTTTATGTCAAGACCAAGTCTGAATACTGTTTGATCTTACCGCTGATTCATTTTTCCTGTTGAAAGTTCATTCAATTGTATATTCTTACTCCCTATTCCCTTAGTTTTATTCTCTTTGGTTGCTGAGGACAGCAATATTCAAATATGAGAATATTTGATAAACCTTTAGTTTATCATGTTTATAAGGCTAATATTGCATGAATTATATAGTCAAGAGCATGAATACTTAGGTTTTATATTGAAAATCATGGAAATTGGATTTTTATCTAACATATCAAGTTCTTATTGGTTTTGAAGGAAAATTAATACAAATTTGAGCAAGAATGGATTTAAAGATTGAAGTTGGAATTGGAAGATAATTTTTCATCTAAGAAGTTGAATCTACAGTGATGAAGCACATTCAAATGTTGTTTAGCACATTAAAATGTGCTAACTACTGAAAAAATATGAGAACCGGAGGAGAACATTCAAATGTTATAGATCAACATTCAAATGCTCTAGACAACAGTTAAACGCCCTCTAGCATTTAAACGCTCTAGTCAACATTTGAACACACTGGCATGAAAGAAATCACAACCAAGGAGCGCGTTCAAATGTTAATTCCAACATTAAAACACCATGTAACAGAAGATAAACGCACTGCTCAGCGTTTTAATGTCACTGTCAACATTCAAACGCGCTATCATAAAGGAAATTGCCATCCAGGAGCGTGTTAAAATGTTACATTCAACATTTGAACGCACTAGCATGAAAAAAGTCACATCCAAGGAGCGCGTTTAAATGTCAATTCCAACATTAAAACGCCATCTAACAGTGGGAAAATGCGTTGATCAACATTTGAACGCGCTTATCAATATTTGAATGTCCAGCTGCGATGCAATTCAGATTCAATTTATAAAATCATCCAATTGAAGATATGATTTCAGATTTCATAAGATTCTATAGAAAATTAAAAGATATAGTCTCATGGCTATAAATAAGGAGCTTTTGGAGAGAGTTTTGAAGAATCAAAAGGAGAAATCTTGTTGCGGAGCATTGGAGCACTGAAGAGTCAAGACAACATCACATCAATGGAGTCTTGGGGAATTATTTTCTTTCCAATTGTTTTTGAATTCCATATGCTAGGTTAAGTTTTTATGTAGTTAGGGGTAGATGGAATCCAATTGAATCTTTGTTCTATGAATTCTTCGCTTTCTATATTTGAATGAATTTATCTGTTTTTAATGTTTTCTATGAGTTTGCTCGTTGATTAATTTAGGGAAATTGTATGATAATAGGGATGTTGGTGCATGAACCCTGATTTGATAAATTCATCATAATTCTTGTAATCTAGGGATAGACATAGGGCAATTGTGCAATATTTGAATTCTTGATTTTAATGCATGTTTTCTTGATGAACAACCGGGAAACTAGGATTCTTTCAAGATCACATAGAATTAGGGTAACAAGGAATTGAGCCTTAATTAACTTAGAAAGAATTGATTGGCATTATATTAAGAGCAGATTCTTGACTATTTAATTCATAGCATAAAGAGGAAATTAGGGGAAGTCGAAACCTTAACTATGTTCTTTCTTGGTTTTCAAAACATTAATCTTTTTACTTTCTTGCTTTTAATTATGAAATTGAATGATATTGCTTGTTTTTAATCTCAATTCTTTTCATTTCAAATTTGATTGTTCAATTAAATCGTTGTTAGCGAACTAGTGCTTGAAAACCAATCATTGTGGGAACGATCTCGTACTTAGTACACTTTATTACTTTTACGACCGGTCCACTTGCCGAAGTCGCAACATTGAACAACCATAAAGGCTTTATTGTGTAATAAAATGAATCAGAATTATGTTATACTGACAAAAAAATCTGCAGCTCTTATGGTCTTCTTATCTATATTGGAAAATCAATCTAAGTTTGGGGATGCTTTAGAAATTCTGTCCGGAGAAATTGGGAGTGCTTTAGATGATTGAAGTAGACAAGCTACGCATACAGTGATACAGGTAAAATGGCCATCTAGTTAATCTAAGGAAATTGGTTTCTGGGAGGATGTTCTATGGTCTATGTACTTGAAGTCATAATTAAAGTAATTTGGAGACTCCAGGCAGGGTAATAGAAATGTTGTATTCCATGTTGTATTTAGAAGAATTTAATGTTTGTTTTCCAGGCAAACTCTTTTTTCAGAGTCATGCTGAGAATAAGTTAAAATTTGTCTGGAAGTGCACTACTTACTACTTTGAGTTTTAATCTGTGCGGTGCATTATTGAAAATTGCACCTGTTTCAACGTGTAAAAAATAAATGTACATGTTATCAAAAATAAATAAATAAATAAATAAATGTACACGGTACATGAATCCAAGCAGCACACCACCCACATATTTGGAGGGAGCTTCCAAAAATGAGTTTTTCAAGAAGAAATTTCTCTCTATTTGTAAAATGGTTAGAAAATAGAAGTATAATTGACAGGCAAACACACCAGAAGAATTAGGATTATGAACCATTAATTTGTCTATACTAAAAGATATATGAATTAAAATCAAACAAAATTAAAATTTAACTTACTTTGAGATATGATTCTTACGTGGCTTCTCTTTGGTGCTATTACATGGTTTCTTTCAGGGTTTTTCCTTGCTAAACATGCAGAGGGGAATTGGAAAGCTTGTTTCATGTTTTCTTGTGTTGTTCTATCTTACCTCCTCTTTCTTGTATCTAATATTTCCTTCTAATTTTATTATTTTTTTAAAAAGGGAAAAAAAAAGGCAGGAACATTATTCTCATTTTTTTTGCTTTCACTTTAAGGGAACAGTGACCATTGTGCCACTGCTCCCACACAAATTTACCTAAATGCCATGCTCCTGAACTAATTTTCCAAACTGTCATGCAGGCAAGGTTGCTTGCAGCAGTAGCGAACTATGCATGATGATGTGCTAGGAAGTTGGTGATGTCAGAGTTCGCTTCTGACACAGACGACCTCTGTTTTTAACTAAGTTCGCCTACCATGTAGGCGACTTTCATTTTTTTATTTTTTTAAAAATTTGATACTTGTTATTCACTAAAAATGTGACACGTCAGCAACCTATGTCAGAAATGAACTTGCTCTCGTGGCAGATTGAAAAATAACACTGTTCACGTGTCATTTAGGTAAAAAAGTTGGTGAACAGTGACATTTTGATCAGTTATCCCACTTTAAGTTGACAGGGGAGACTTCTGGCTCGGGCAGGTGACTATGCTGCTGCTACTGATATCATTCAGAAAATTCTGGAGTCAGGGTAAGCATTTGGATGCTGACACCATGTTTTAACATAACATGGCAATGACGACTGAAATTAAAATAAAAGATATACAAAAATGAAAAAAATATTAAAATAAAAGATCAGAAAAATCAACAACGACTGAAATTAATTTTTAAAAATTCAAATCTAGTGCATATGATGTTGTGCTACAGCCTAGAGGTCCTCCTTCAATTTCTATTGATTCATTTCAGTTGCATCAGAATTTTTTGTGTTAAAAGGGCTAGTCTCGATATACAAAGTTTCTCAATTTGTAAAAATAAATGTTACATCAATTATAATCATTCGTTTCGTTGTATTTTTAACTTTAGAATTTTTTATAATTTGAGAGAAAAGGCCAATTCAACATAAAGATGTGCAAAAGAATTACTAAACTGAACTAAACTAAACTGCATTAAAAAAAAAGACTGCTTCTTAAAAAATCAGTTCTTGAATTTAACTTTTTTATAAACCGAATTGATTTTCAAATCAGTTTAAGAATTAAAATGGTTTAAAAAATTATGAACCGAATCATTTTTTCTCTTATTTTTTATTTATTTATTTTCTCTCTATTTTTCTTTCTTATTTATTTTCTTCCTTCTTTTATCTTTATTTTATTATTTTATTTCTTTAATTTTTAATTTTTCTTTTTCTTTTCTTTTTTCTCTTATTTTTACTATTTTTTATTTTTTATTTTTTTATATTTGTGTTTTTTATTTTTTATTTTTTTCTTCATGTTTTTATACTTTTCATTTGAGTTCAAAAATCAATTTTATGATATACAAAAGAAGCACAAAAAATACTAAACTTAAAAAAATTAATTTTTAAAAACTAGTTCTTAAACTGAAAAACAGTAATGAACCGAACCAGTTTTTTTCTCTTCTTTTTATTTATTCTTCTTTTTCCCTATTTATTTCTATTCTCTTATTTATTTATTTATTTATTGACTTTTTTATTTTTTTTATTTTTCATTTTTTCTCCTATGTATTTTTTATTTTTTTAATTATTTTTTTTATTTTCAGTATCATTTGTATTTTATTTTCCTTCAATTTTTTTATAATTTTTATTTGAAAGGAATTGATTTTAAAAATTAATTATGAACTGATTTAAAACCAATTCAAAATCAAACTGAATTAATAAATCAATTCAATTTTTAAAACTATTTTTTTTTAATTCAATTCCATTCCGCAATGAAACCCACAGAGCACACCCCTAACTTAATATTTAAAAATTATTTTTTTATGGTGAAAAATCATTGCAAAACAATTCAATGAATATGAACTTCTAGATTACAAACTGAATGCACCTCCCACAGATCTTTTCAAACTCAGAGGGGATCCAGGTTGTTTCAGTTTGACGGACTCTGTTTCATTTATCCACCTTTAATGGATGTGACGGATGTGACCCTTTGAATAAAATGTCAACCAGAGATTTGCAGAAGTCAATCTTGTGATTATCCTTTTGCCTCTCATTCAACGGGATCATGAATATAATTAGCAAAGCAACTAGGTCGGCAAAGAGCACATCTATAGACCTTTTAAAATTCAGACAATGTATATTAAAAAAAAAAAAAAAAATTCAGACAATGTGATGCCGCTGCAATTTGACATAGCGGTTCCTAATAGGAATGTGACTTAAGCACCAACGAAAACCAAGTTAATGTTCAGCTCTACACGATTGTGATAAACACGTGGTATTTGAGAAAATGGTTATGGTTTCAACTTGAAACAAATTAATAATTAATGGCATCACTCTAAAGTCAGGTGGTAGCCTACCTAATGCATGAAAAAAGGAGGTGAACAAACAACAAATGTACTAATGCATTAAAAATACCATTAACAAAGGAAATATTATGAGTAGACGTATCAAACCTGCTTCATTTGAAAGAATTTTGAACACCTTAGGTTAAAGTGGTGTGCTCATTAAATAATTAGTGCCTAGATTGATGGTTAAACAAGAATTGGATTCGTGGTAGAAAATGTAACAATATACCTATTAAGCTGTTCAACTTTTCAACCAATTGAGTTCATGTCTCCCATTCATAGCTGGATATATCACACCTTTATTTGGTCCTTTAATTACTTTCCTTCTGGCCATTTGATCCTTGTGTTACATATTATATTCAGCTTAGCTAGGATATTGTGAGTGTGACAGTGAATGAAGCGCCACTTTTTTTTTTTTTTATTTAACAGGTACCACTTTCATATTTCACAGAAGTAGGCATCCAAAAGGCACTGTTTCAGCTAATAACTTAAAAGAGGTCAACTAAATGCGAAACTACTACGTACTCTCGTCACCACCGAACCAAACCAAATTCAACCTCATCTTAACTGCCCTATTAGTACCTATTCTTTTCTATTGTGGTACCTTCCAAGGTTGAGATATTCATATGTTTCAGTGTCAGAACATAACAAATAAACATATGAAACGTAGACCAATATGCTTAGAAAAATGCATGGTCCTGGGGACCACATGGCGTTGAATTGTTGAACAGACCACTGATTCCACAATATTTTTTGAGTAAATATTTTTTTTTCCTAACAAATTTTACGATACTCGCTTTAGTCTCTAGCAAATAAAAAGACTATTTGTAGTTTCTAAGAAATTTAAAATGGACCCATTTAGTTGAAATCGTGTCCCTCATAAATTCAAAAAAGACCCACATCAGTCTCTCAAAAGGACTAAAATGGGTCTATTTTAAATTTCTTAGGGACCACGAATAGCCTTTTTATTTGCTAGGGACTAAAACGGACATCGTGAAATCTGCTGAAGACCAAAAAAGATATTTACTCTTTTTTTTAATTAGCTTTCACAAACTGTGAAAATATATTTTGTTTCTACATGTTACATTTATTTTCAATTTGGTTCTTATTAAAAAAAAGTTAGTTTCTATATTTACATTCATCTTCATTTTGATCTTTATTTTGATCCTTAGTCTGACACTATTGTAATACCGTAAAAAAGAAATAAATCTTTAGTGCAATTTCAGCGCATCTGTCATTCATTTTATGATGCGTAGATACAAAATATCATATTATCAAATTAGTTGTTATTTAATTTATTTATTTTTTTCAAATAATATGATATTTTTTGTCCACTTGTATATCACGAAATGAATGACAAATGCACTACAATTGCACTAAAGATTTATTTGTAAAAAGAGTGTCATGTGTATAGACTATAAATTATATATATTTTTTTCTTTATACGTGATGGTTATTTTCTGTTTAATCATTGTAAAGTCCAGTAACTCTATATTAATCTCATAATGTTATATCAACAAACGACAGGGACGAATTTAAAAACAATTAAGCATATAGAACTTAAATTTAAAAGTTTTTATATAAGAAAAAAATTTAAAATATGTATAAGACAAAAATATATATTTAAATTAACTTTTTTTAGTACAAGAATAAATTAACTTTTTAACTTTGCATGAAAAAGATCAATTCACCGATTGGAATTTCTTTAATGTTTGTTTAAATGTACATAATTAGCGGGGGTGTGAAAAGGACAAAATATATATATATATATATATATGGGAAAAAAGTATTTAATGTTACTTTAGATAACTTTATGTAATGTTCATCGAAACGACGTCGTTTTGGGATTGAGAAATTAAAAAATTAGAATGATAAAGACTATTATAACCCTGAAATAAATTAAAATTACAAATAAACCATGATTTCTGCCTCAAAACGACGTCGCTTCGATGAACATTAGATAAAGTTATCTAAAGTAACTTTAGAAAAAACAAACCATATATATATATATATATATATTCAAATATATTTTATTTAAACCACTAATTATCTACTTCGCATACAGACCCACAAGAAAAAATTAAGTAAATAACTAAGAACTAATTATTAGTGATTTCATACGGGGAGTTATTAGGGCGTGAAATAGGAAGGATAAAAAGGGGACTAGTATAATCCTTTCTTGCTTGGAAGCAATATAAATGAAGGGAAGCATAAGGAAGATAAACTCGGTGTTAATCTCTTACATTATGGGTGTTTGGTAAATGAAAAAAAATTTAGCAGGTAAATAAAATTACTGTGAAAATTGTGAAAAAGTAAATTTGCTGGTAAAGTTAGAAAAAAGTTGTTTAGTTGGACGAAATATTACTAAGTAAATTGATTAAAGTTTTGTAAGTCTATGTTTTCTTTTATCTAACAATATCACATTAGAAGTGGCATTTCTGCTTTGTGTTTGTCGTGATCGTTTTTACTTACAGTTGATAAAGGATGAGTATTCAAGTTTGCTTACTAAATTTTTAAATAACTTGAACCAAAAGTGGACAAGAAAAAATGCCACTTACATATCTCGTGAGAATATCGGAACCAAACGCCGCATTTTTAGTGAGATGGTATTTTGAAAAAGATATTACTCTGTAATTTAGAAAGCTCATTTATAGTTTTCTTTATCTCCCTAGTTACATGAGGGGAGATTGATTTTGAAGGGCCTATAGTAAAATAGTTATTTTCTTGTTTATTATCTCACTCTTTGCTTCTCAAACGAGGAAGTATGTTATCCGTAAGTTTTACTTTTACTTCTTTATAAATAAATTTCATTATTTCATTATTCACAGACGACAAGTTTAGCGTAAGAGCTAGGTAATGATTAGTATCTTAAGAAGCACTTTCTGAAGAAGTAAAACACGTAGCTGTATTTCTACTGCACACTGCTTTTGTATACTTCTAAACCACAGAATCTAACATTTGTTTCACAGTTGATTGCGCTAGTGGGTGCACCAAATCCTCTGTGTCATTAGAATGATAATCCTAAATTATTAAGTCCCTAGCTAGTTGACTCATTAAAACTAATGACCAAAACATTTCCTTTTCCAAGTTCAAAGAAGGTCTAGGCATTTGCCCCCTTTATCACTATAAATTAGCTTCACTTTAGACCAAATGTCACATAACTCAAGTAACTCCATTCAACAAATTCTGATACAACAATGAAGTCTATCCACCTCTCTAACAAGTCATGTTGCTCTTGGTTCTTCTTTGGCCTATTTACTATCATTGCTTCCCTTGCTTCAGCTGCAGAGCCAGAGACTCAATACCATCAATTTGTAGTAAGTGTTTGTTTAATGATTACACCATATTTGTTATCAGTTTCTAAGTGTTGTTTTTAGCAATACGTAATTGTAACTTCAATTATTGGTCAAAATAGGTTCAAACTACTCCAGTGAAGAGGCTGTGCAGAACCCACAACATACTCACTGTAAACGGGCAGTTTCCAGGCCCAACAATAGAAACTAGAAATGGAGATTCTCTTGTAATCAAAGTAGTAAATGCTGGACCCTACAACATCTCCATCCACTGGTAAATGGCATCATCATTCATCCTCACATTAATTCCATGCTAAAACATTTTACACTTCAGTCAGAACAATTTCCCTAAAGAGTAAAACTATTCTCTAGGCTGTAAAATTAAACAAGTAGAAAGAAATGTAATTCACTATGCTAATGATACATACCTGAAATCCATCTTCCTCACAATCTTATGTGACTCGTGCATCAGGCATGGATTAAGGATGCTTAGAAATCCATGGGCAGATGGGCCTAGTTATGTGACTCAGTGTCCCATCCAACCAGGTGGAAGTTACACATACCGCTTTACAATCACAAACCAGGAAGGGACACTATGGTGGCATGCTCACACCGGCTTCCTAAGAGCCACTGTCTATGGAGCTTTCATCATTTATCCAAAATTGGGTTCTCCTTATCCTTTCTCTATGCCCAAGAAAGAATTTCCCATCCTTCTTGGTACAACTCTAAAACCATCACTTATGCTGCTCAAATCACTTTTATAATTTCCTTTGCACTTTAATCAAACCTTTCCCTCTTCTCTTGTTATGAAGCAATGACAGAGTCATAACAGATTTTATTGTGATGATGCTCATACAGGGGAATGGTTTGATAGGGATCCGATGCTTCTCTTAAGGCAGGCACAGTTTACAGGAGCAGCTCCAAATGTATCTGTTGCATACACCATGAATGGTCAACCTGGAGATCTCTACAGATGTTCCAGTCAAGGTTTAGAATATTTCTAGAGTCATAGCTTCCATGCGGATTTTCCTTTTTTATGATTGAAAATCATATAACAAAAATTTACAATGCAGAAACTGTACGTATTCCAGTAGATGCCGGCGAGACAATTCTTTTGAGAATTATAAACAGTGCACTTAATCAAGAACTATTCTTTACAATTGCCAACCACAGAATGACAGTGGTTGCTACAGATGCTGCTTATAGCAAGCCTTTCAACACTCAAGTCCTCATGATAGGACCTGGTCAAACAATCAATGTCCTGGTCACTGCTGATCAAACCCCAGGTCTATACTACATGGCAGCACGTGCATATCAAACAGCCATGAATGCTGCATTTGACAACACAACCACCACTGCAATCCTTGCATACAAATCTGCTAGCTGCAGTAAAAAAAATGGACAACAATCTTCAAGACCAACATTGCCAGTTTTGCCAGCCTTCAATGACACAGCCACTGCAACTGCATTCACAGCTGGGATCAGGGGTCTTTCCAATAATAAAGTCTTTACAAATGTTGATGTGAGCCTAAATTTCATAGTGGGGTTGGGATTAATCAACTGCACAAATCCTAATAGTCCAAGGTGTCAAGGACCAAATGGAACCCGCTTCACAGCCAGCATAAACAATGTTTCTTTTGTACTCCCGACAACCACTTCCTTAATGCAAGCCTACTATCAAGGCATCCCTGGTGTCTTCACCACAGATTTTCCTCCTGTTCCCCCTCTACAATTCAATTATACTGGCAATGTGCCCCGGGGGCTATGGACACCTTCACGAGGAACTAAGCTCTTCAAGTTGAAGTATGGTTCAAATGTGCAAATTGTTTTCCAGGATACCAGCATAGTGACAACAGAGGACCACCCTATGCATATTCATGGGTTCCACTTCTTTGTAGTTGGTGCAGGTTTTGGTAACTTCAACCCAGCAACAGATCCTGCAAGGTTTAACCTTGTAGACCCACCTGTGAAGAACACCATAGGAACTCCTCCTGGAGGATGGGTGGCCATTCGTTTTGTTGCTGATAATCCAGGTAACGTACTACTCTTATTCTCTGTCTTGCAGAGTTTGTGTCGGGCTTAGCATTGCATACTAACCAATCAATTACTTGTGATTTTTCATTCACTGTTGCAAATCAGGAATTTGGTTCTTGCATTGTCACATAGACTCACATCTGAATTGGGGTCTTGCAAATGCACTTTTGGTAGAAAATGGAGTTGGCCCATCTCAATCAGTGATACCTCCACCACCAGATCTGCCCCAATGTTAAGATCAAGACAGCATCATTAATCATAAATTTTATGTTCCTCAATTATTGGCTTTCTGTTTTACGAGGTCTTCAAATATTTTGCCAAATAGGCGGCAGTATTTGTTCTGTGCTGTTTCAGGGTCCAGAATTGGACGCTGCTCAATTGGGCAGTTATGTTAGCGTTTTTCTTGATTGGGTGTAAGTGTTGACTCTTTTACAAGAAAAATAAAATTCTTGTGTGATTTCTTATCATTACTATATATGAAGAGTTTTTATTTTTCTTTTGCAAGTGCATCATAGTATAAGATTTCCACATTTCGAGATATTAAGTTTTCTAATTATTTTGGACCGACATAATGAGTCCATCAATTTTGGATTGGGTCCAACGTCAAACACAAATAAACAAATTCATAAGCTCCATGCACCGTCTAAATGCTTTCCAATGATTAAAATCCTTTGCATAGTCATATGAATATAAGCGGGTGGTGTGTTCGGAATTTTTGACAAGCTAGGAGACGCTAGGACAAGTCATAATAGGGCACCGGATACGGGATCGGTCCTATATGGATTCATTACCGGACACTAGTAGACTACAGTATTGACAAGCTAGGAGACGCTAGGACAAGTCATAATCGCACTGCAAACTTTATACATACAAAAAAGTGTTGCTATCTTGTTCTATATTTCAGGTGGAAAAAATTACAGTATTGACACAGAACTTTGCAAATATCAACCATAAACAAAAATCTGCTATCCAGAGTGATCAATATTATGCAAATCAGATATAGTTATCTACTCGATGAGTTATGTAAAGAATAAATACACCATAGTAGACTATGTTAAAATGAGGATGGCTAAAAAAAGAAAAATACATACAACTTATTGCTAACTATAACCGTCACCAATAAAATCAAGGTAACAAATAGATCAAGCAAATATGAAATTAAAAAAATCAACTTGTACCTATAATTCAGTATCATTCTGTAGCAATTATTGGAGGGATGAGTTTAACACATACCAAACATGTGATTTCCTATGTTTATGCATTACTAGGGATATCCTCTTCTACCATCATATTTATGCCTACAATACAAAATGCAAATGCTCATTAAATAAATTACGCTAATATGTTAACACTCAGAAGTAATAGTCTCAGCAAAAAAAAATTGGATTATTTTTTTTAGAACCCAAAAAACGTTGTCTGAAAGGGATTTGAAAGCAAATTAACCAAATAGTCATGTATGAGTCATATTTTTTGCTTACATTAGAACAAATGTGTCTAAATAGCATCAAATCAATACACATGCTAAACATTTGTAACAATATAAAGAACCCATAATGATAAATTTTTAAAAAACAACAACATACATTCGGGTCCACCAAAGACTTAAGGAATGAGGTGACAATAGCTTCACTGCTTCAAACTCTTGAAACTTGATATCTTGGCTCATTATATGAGTCCAAATTGTTTTTTTACATTGACCTTAAATAACATGGACTTTTCATTAAGAACGTTAAGTTCTCTTTGATAATGTTCTAAATCAGCACACTTATTGGGGGTTATTTGAATGTTGAATTTTGAATTTAATGTTATAGGAGTTGATTGCATTTTGTATTTAATAGGAGCTGATTGCGTTTTGTATTTAACAGGAGCTGATTGCATTTTGTATTTAATAGGAATTGATTGTGTTTTGTATTTATAGGAGCTGCTTGCGTTTTATTAGGAGTTTCCTTTTTACGAGTTGATTACAGATTGTCACCAATTCAAATTTATTTGTAATTTGTAATTCTGAGCCTATTTATAGGCAATATTTCAATGAAATGAGCAAGAGTGTAAATACCAATTTTTATCTTGGTATCAGAGCAAGTCTTCCGCTAACAACTCTAAGTGAGGAGCGAAGCCATGTTCGACGCAAACCCTTTAGGGACCAGTACTACAAAGAAGCTGACAACTTCTGACCAGCGATCAACCTTCTATATGAACAATGCAAATGGACCAGGTATTCTATTGACCAACGTGGTGCTGAAGGGAGAAACAAATTATGATGCGTGGGCTAAGGCCATGAAAAACGCCATCAAAGCCAAGAACAAACTTGGATTTATCAGTGGTGATGTGAAAGAACCTCCAGAAAGTGAAGCCGATGAGTCTTTTGCTTGGACACAATGCAATTCGATGCTTAATAGCTGGATCCATAATACAATTGATCCGCAGTTGCAGCCTTACATTCAGTATTTCGACACAGCAAAGGAACTTTGGTAAGACCTGAAAGAGCGATATTCAGTTGCGAATATACCACGACTATATCAACTCTGCACCAGTCTTGCTAATATCAGGCAAGATGGAACCAAGGTTGGCACCTACTACACACGTCTGAGGGCTATCTGGGATGAGATAGATGCAAGCAAAAACCAACCTTCTTGTACGTGTGGAGCCAAATGTGTCGTGGCAATTTATAATAGTGATGAAGCTGAAAAGGAAAAGGTTTGCCAATTCCTTATGGGGTTGGGTGTTAATCAATTTGGTGCGTTGAGGACTCAGATTCTCAACTACCCAACCTTTCCCAATTTAAATCAAGCTTATGCAGTTGTGGTTCAGAAGGAGACACATCAGGATATGTCAAGAAAGAAGGATAAAAGAGCTGAGGTGGTCAGCTATGCTGCTAAGACTAATATAACTTCTCAAGCAGGATACAATCGGAGGATGGTACCACAACAACAAGCAGATCATGAACGGCTTATATATCCTCATTGTGGGAAGACTAATCATGATCCTTCTAGATGTTGGACAATCATTGGATATCCTTCTAATAGAGGAGGCAGTCGTGGAAGGGGCAGTTCATCAGGGGGTCTTTCCAACTACGAACAGGCTCGAGCTGTGCAAACAAATGGCGAGATGCAACAGGCCCGCCCTGTTCAATTCATGGGAGAACCTCAGCAAACTGGTGCTTACACTTGATCTTGTTACAAAGTTGGTTGCTTTAGTCGATCCATCTCAATAAAATGACAAACTCAAGGGTAAGTCTGTTAATTTTTAATGGCTTGTAGACAGTGGAGCTTCACAACACATAACAGGTTCAAAAGATTTGATGCAAGACATGAGGGCTATATCACCTTTGCCCGTGAGTTTGCCCAGTGGTACCATGGTTCTAGCAGAGCAACGTGGGAATGTGGTTCTTGATTCATCTTTTATTTTGTATGATGTTTTACATGTGCCACAGTTACGGTGCAATTTGTAACGCCCTGTCTGCAGCCAGTTAATTAACATTCATATGATAGTAAGTGCAGCATGCTCAACTTAATTAATGCGGAAGCTAACTGAATAATTTTTTCTCTTTTTCCTTATGTATTGCAAACTTTTTCACTTCCATGGCTAAAATAAAACGGACAGCATTTCCTCTGTATTTTGGACCTCTGGGGATAATTTCAACCTGATTGACAGTTTAATATAACTCAGGCATACCACAACATAGATAAAACATATTTCCCAACCATCCATGGCCTAGGCTATCTCATAATCATACTGTCTCAAAATAATGTCCATGATGTTGCTTATATAATTACATCAAATAAACAAAAGAAATGCAATTAAATAAGTAACATAGACCTGAGCATGCATCACTAATAGTATATACAGACTATCAACATGGCATAGATATCTCCTTTGCTCTCAAAAAATACATGGCACATACAACCCAAAATAAGGTATGTCAGGTACAAATCTAAATATCCGTAAGACCCTAACAATCATGTCAAGTAGTATCTCTCATCTGGCCTCTTGCCACGCGATGCCTCAGCACCATCAGCTCCTGTACCTGAAATGGTAATCCCTATAACGCGGGGTGAGATAATATAATTACCTCAGTAAGCTAGGGACCCTTGGAGGGCTCCTCCAACCCTAAGCTCACTTCTGGTATAATAATAGTATAAAAATCCATGCATGCATCAGAATATGTATGACAATGCAGTGTGCAATAATGTAATCCTACTGGCCAGAGAATATAACAAGTATGCATTACGCAAGGAAACACCGTCTTGCAACATACCGTATGAGGAAACACCGTCTCATACTATGCATAAGGAAACACCGTCTTATGCCTCACACAAGGAAACACCGTCTTGTGTGGCACACAAGCATACATACATATACATGCAACATATAATATTATTTTCACATACCATATCAAACTACCATCCTCCCTCGGAGTCTGGTGGAACAAACGGGGGATTAACCCCAAGGACCGAAAGCTTACCTGGCAAGCAGTGTCCTCCACTAATTCTCGTGTCCACAGCGTCACGATCTCTCACAAAGTCACAACCTAGTTCCAAGATGTGAAGACAATTAGTATTCCTATGTACCAGTCTATCACGCTTAATTTTCAAGCCTACACATACAAGAAACCTACACTTGATTTTTAGTCCAATTTATCAAAGTGTCCTAAACGGTCATTTCATAATTTTTCCTTTTACGGGAACCAATCCCAAGCATATTTAACAAAGGGACTCACCTATAAATCACCCTCCAACTACTCATACTATCAAAACCCCAATTATACAACCCTAAACTCCATGCATTTTGTCCAAAATCACAAGAAGGAGTTGGAGTAATTACCTTGGGAGCCACAAATCACTAAATAGAAGACAACCAAGCTTCCAATCCAAGAAATGCATCTCCCATAAGCACAAATCCGAAAATGACTTCACCAAATGGGTTCCACTTTCTCTCTCAACAACTCATTAATGGAGGAGGATGATAGGGATATGAAGAAGATGAAGATTAATGGGTTGATCCTCTTGTTTCATATGAATTTTTGAAAGCACAAGATGAAGAAAGTTGAAAAAGACACCTTCGGTTGAGAGAAACAGGAACACGACGATAATGAAAGTGAAAATAGGAAAGAGACCGTGTTACTTTCCTTTTAAAAGAGTTTAACTAATCCAAGTGGGTATAAGTTTATCTATCCCGCTCACTTAACTCTCATTCTAACTTTAAACACTAGTCCAAAATATTTTTATGGTAATAT